TCTCTCTCAGAAATGCCATACCGCCAAGCGGTTTAAAAGATTACGAGGTCAAAACCCTCTCCTCTGCTTGTCTGTTCCTTTAATGGGATCGTGACACCAAAACGCTAGGCTTTCCAAGTTGCTTAAAAGGCTTTTTGAAGCCAAAACTTTTTTTCTTGACTTGCCGGTTCCTTTAAAATGATCCTAAATACCACGACGTGGCGTTGCGCCCTCAGATCATCATTTTTTCCGTTTTTTTTTTCCGTTTTTCCTCTGTTTTTAGAACCCGTTTTTTCATTCAGCGTCCTTCCTATATACGTTTCAAGCGGCAAAAAACGATGGGGTGGTTGGGGCTGAAATCTCAGGCAGGCATCTGGGCCTCAAGAGGGTCCCCCTCCACCTCGAGTATTTCAGGAGGGCGGAAAAATTAGCTATGTGCCATGGGGGGGGGTTTCATTCTCTCTCTCTCTCTCTCTCTCTCTCTCTCTCTCTCTCTCTCTCTCTCTCTCTCTTCTCTCCCCTCATTCTAGATTTCTCATTTCGAGAGGTCATTCCAAAGGGGGTGTGGGCCCATTCCCGGTGTGTGTGGCCCCTTTATCCGTCCTTTCCTCTTCCCATTTGCACCCAGCCATCCTCTCCGGGCCGTCCAGCCCCGCATCGTCGCAAAATGCAAATCGGCTCCTCCCCGAAACGGCCAACAAACGCTGCCGTCACAGAAAGTCATTGAGACGCCCGGAATTCCGAGGGGCTACTCTGTTTTGACCTTTCCGGAACGATACTCCGGACAGTGCAGTCTTGTCTTCAACATCGTATTCGCTCGAAAAGACGAGCGTCGTCCTGTTTTAAAGACGATTGGTGCAAAATTTCCGGAACTGTACTTCTGACGACAAGTACTGTATTTTTACCCGAAAAACCCTCTATCATCTATAGGAAGAATCCGGAATTATACGCTTTCGAGGTTTCCGGAACAGGACTTTTGACGCTATATCCTGGAGCCTACTACGGAAAACAGCTCGACATCCGACTATCACGGATATTCCGGAACGCTACCTTCTAATCCTGCACTTTCCGGGGCTGTACTTTGTATGGCCTCCGGATACTGTGGTCACAAAAAATCCCCCGTCAATAAGCCACATTTTTTCGATTACCGTACTGCCCGAAAAAATACGCTACACTACGCGCCGGTACGCTCACAATTTGGCTCGGAATTTGATACAGTATCGATAAACTCTAATTTTCTAAAAATCCATATTCCGGTTGGCTACCGTATTCCGGATACTGTATCTTGCAGTCCGCCGTCAGAAATAGCATACGAAGTTCCTGTTCCCAACAGCAAGCTGCACTACGCTTGAATACGTCCCAGTACGCTGCAATACGCTATTGTACTCTACGGTACTATACTACAATACGCTCAATCCACAACGGTACGATACAGTACGCTACAGTACCGAAACGCTCACTACAGATGGCTCGAATCGCCACCCAATCATCTGGTACCCCGAAAAAGCACGTGAAGCTGCAGCATACTTTGGTAAGGGTTGGAAATAAATAGTGAAAAATTTGTACAAAATTCTACAGTATTTTCATGTAGTTCTTAATGATATTTTGGCAATATCTCTCATTTCCGGTTCCTACCTACCGAGCTAAACACCTGGCCGAGGGCTTGAGCGCCCGGGGTGACAGCCCTGTTTTCCGGGGAGTTTCCGGGACTTTCCGGGCGCCAGCTTTTTGTCTGGCCGGGCTGGGGGAAGAGCCTGGAGAGCCTCATCATAGACCCCATCCTCATCCCCACCCCATTTCCCACCTTTTAGACTCCAATGGGGTGGCAGGATGGGGTGGAAGAAATGGGGGAGAGGGCTTACGATTTTTGGCAGTACTCCAATTTTTTTGGATTTTTTAATCACACCGTTTTACTCTAGCGCTCTGTTCCTTCCTTTTCTCTCGCTCTCTCGCTCTCTCTCTCTCTCCCTCTCGCTCTTTCTATCTCTCGCTCTCTATCTCTCTCGCTCTCCCTCTCTAGCTCTCTCTCTCGCTCGCTCTTTCTTTCTCTCTCTCTCTCTCTCTCTCTCTCTCTCTCTCTCTCTCTCTCTCTCTTTCTAGCTCGCGCTCACTTGAGAGATTTTCTGAATTTAAGTGATTTTCCTGTTTCGGTGGATGAGCCAGAAATGCTCCAAAAATTTGAAATCAGCTTGAGACTGGACCTCGGGCTGAGCATAAACTGAGTCTGAGCCAAACTCGAGCTAAGCCTGAGCTAAGCGGGAACTTAAGCTGCGTCTAGGGCGGAGCACTAGCGAAGCTGAAGCCTAATCCTAGGCCTCTGGCCAGGTCGCCAAAATTTTTTTGGGTGTGGTCCCCCCCGAAATCTCGGCTCCCGTACGGACCTGCCTCTGGCTAAGCGCAAGTTAAGCCTAAGCCTAAACTCAAGCTAAACCTAAGTCTAAGCCTAAGCCAAGCCAAAGTCGAGCCCAAGCCTAATCGAAACCTAACTTAAACCTAAGCAAAGCCTAAATCTAAGGCCAAGCCTGAAGCTGAACCTAAGCCCAAGCCTGAGCCTAAGCCAAGCCTAAGATAGACCTAAGCCAAGCCTAACTAAACCTAAGCGGCGCCCATTCATGGCCAATGATCTCTGCTAGCTAGCCGTTCTCCCCGTTCGGGTGGCGATCACCTGTCCGAAAAACACCTGTCCGAAAAACACCTGTCCGAAAAATCGCCTGTCCGAAAAAACATATGTCCGAAAAAATACCTGTCCGAAAAGTCGCCTGTCCGAAAAATCGCCTGTCCGAAAATCATCCATCCGAAAATCCACTGCCCGAAAAGTAAATTTCGGACCATGAAATCGAAGTACGGCCGAAACTTCCCAAGACCTTCAGGTAATCTATTCAAACCGAATTTTGGAGAAAATGGGAGGGTAGTTTCCAGGGATACGAACCGCTACTGTATCATAAATTTTTGGATAGTGACTCAATGAGCTCGGGCAGGCATTCCCTAAGATGCGGCCGATGAAACTTGGTTTGGTCACAATTCCGGGGGCTTGCCCCACGTGGGGCTATCTGGTGGCAGTTATACCTCGAACCTTTAAGAACTGAGTAAGTAATTCGAAAAGGGTTTTGATTGGCTGCTTCGTACATTAGTTTTTCGGACTGGTGTTTTTCGGACAGGCGACTTTTCGGACATACGGTTTTTCGGATAGACGATTTTCGGACAAGTGTTTTTTCGGACAGGCAATTTTTCGGACGGGTGATTTTTCGGACACTTGTTTTTCGGACAGGTGTTTTTCGGACAGATGGTTTTCGGACAGGTGTTTGGCAATCTCCCCGTTCTCTCCAAGTGAATGTGTAGCCCAGAGGAGAAGCCCAGAGCAAGAAAGGCAAAGATTTCCGCACCCTATCAGATTACTCGGGTCGCGGGGGGGGGTCGGGTCGAGCATCGAGAGACACATACGCCAGAATATAGGGGGTTGCCTTTTTTCTTCTCCTTCTCACCCTCCGCTCAAAAGTTCCGCATTCATGCTATCGACACCTCTTCACACCATTTTTTGTAAAATTTTTTGCCTTCAGCGTTCTTTTGAAACCCGAAAAAATTCGAATTTTCTTTTAGCCGATTTAAAAATTAAAAACGATTCTTAATTTTCTTAATAAAAAACCTTGCTAAATAACTCAACTAAAAGAAGCCTAACTAAAAGAAGCCTAACTCGAATTGCATATTTTTAAAATAAAACAAAAACAGCGGCTTTAGACTGTAAAATTTCTAGGATTTTACTTAACAAAAAGGGCCTATGAGAAAAAGATTGAATTTAATTCAGTTAGGCTTAGGCTTAGACTTAGCCTAGACTTCGCTTAAGCTAAGCTTTGTCTTAACTTACTTTAGGTGTAGGCATTGTATTCTGCAAAGATGTCATTAATCCATTGTCTGATCACCCGTGGTGTCCAGAGTATTCACGCGTAGTTAGCCTTCCCTGGCGTCGCGCTCCGTTTTCCGTCTCTTTCCGTTTCTTGCCACCTTCCGGCCATTGAACCTCGTTTCGTCTACTTTTCTAGTCTAGTTCTTCTTTTTCTTCTTCTTCTTTCCGCCAGCCCACCCACACCTCCATAAGCCCCCCATCATTTGTCTGCCTGCTGGGGGGACACGGGGCCCTAACCCTGTGTCCCCGGGTCCTGGCTATCGATAGGATTTTAAGGGTTATTTTAAATTTGTAGATTTTTTTTAATACGCCAGCTTTATTCATTTTCTTATGTTAGTCTAGTACAACTTTATTAATTTCGAAAATGTCGAGGGGGACTTTGATAAGAAAATTTAGAAACAGAAATCATCTACCGTTTTCCTCCTCTTTTTTGTATTTGTTAATTTTTTCCAATCTGATTTATTTTTTCCTCCGTTTTTATGGGAAAACCGGCGGAAATGCAACTTTTTGATTTTTGATTGTTTGCTTTTCTACTGTGCCGAAATTTACATGAGCTTCGAACCGAACTATAAAGCTTAAAATCCACGGTGTAGCGTAAAAATCTGGCAAATCGATTAAAAATCTTTTAAAAGCATAAACCTTGGCCTGAGCCCAAGCCTAAGCCGAAACCTGAGCGTAAGCCAAGTCCAAGCCTAAGCCAAGCCTAGACCATTTATTGGAGGCGCATAAGATCCATGGGCTGGCCCAGAATTCGAGAACACCTCGTTCGCCTATCCGTTTCCTATTTGTCGCCCTTTTTTGGTGGGTATCCCAGGGGCAGGGGCGACAATTTCTCCCCAATACCCAATTCCGCCAACCCGACAACCCACCCACACGACCCACTCGAGTCCAAATGCCCTCTGGACACATTCACGAGGGGGTCGATGGAAAGTAGAGAAAAAAATCGAGTTGACTTGGCTTTTTAGCTGTATCTCTTTTTAGCGGGTGCTGTGACATTACCGGGGGGATATTTTCCTGTTAGTGGAACTTGGGTAAATCTGGGAATTTACTACCAAGTACAGTCATTCTTGCGTCAAGACGTGCCCCGGCCCATAATTACCATTCCTTTTTTCAGTCGTGGATGGACCCGGAGCAGCGGGTGATCCTGAATGTGGGCGGCATTAGGCACGAGACGTACACCCATGTACTCAAGAAGATACCCGCCACACGACTCAGCAGGTGAGTCGAGTCCTCAAAGATCTCTGCTAGCTCTCTCACTCTCTCTCTCTTTCTCTCTCTCTCTCTCTCTCTCTCTCTCTCTCTCTCTCTATCTCTCACTCGCTCTCTCTCGCTTTCTTTCGCGCTCCCTCGCTTTCTCTCACTCGCACTCTCTCTCTCTCTCTCTCTCTCTCTCTCTCTGCCATCAACATACCCCTTTCAGATTAACGCCGAACCTGGCGAATTACGACCCGGTGCTGAACGAGTATTTCTTCGATCGGCATCCCGGCGTTTTTGCCATGATTCTCAATTATTACCGGACAGGTTGGTGTCGGAAAGCTACGTAAAAATTTGAATTTGACATTTTTAGGAAAGCTTCATTACCCGACGAACGTTTGTGGGCCTCTTTTCGAGGAGGAGCTCGAATTCTGGGGTCTCGACGCGAATCAGGTGGAACCGTGCTGTTGGATGACGTACACGCAGCATAGGTAGGAGAGAAAGAGAGATAGAGAGAGAGATCAGTTTACGCAACTTTGTTCCAGAGACACCCAAGATACGCTAGCCGTCATCGAGAGCCTCGACCTCGACGGTGACCCTCCCACCGAAGAGGAGGTGGCGAAAAAATTTGGGTGGGAAGATGACTACTACTCGCAGTCGTTGAATTGGTAAGGCTCAATTTCCAAGTATTCAACGGGTTTTTTATGGACGAAAACCGAGATTATGCTAATTAGGCCATATTCAATCGGCAGTTTTGATGGCCAGTTGGAAGATGCAAATTTTGCCAACGATAAATTTCGCAATATTTAAATAGTTGGTTAAATTTGCATATACTCAGTATTATCCAAATTAGCTATCGGGAAATTCGGAATTACGGCAATAGGACTTTTGTGATGTCGTCATTTTTGAAAATTCCATGTTATGCAAATTAGGCAAAAACTTGGTGGCATTGTCGGCAAATGCCGTGCTATTATTAGAGTGAGGGAGGCCTAGGCTAAAGCCTAGGCTTGCCTAGGCTTCCTCAGGCTTTTTTAATTTGCATCGCCTGGGCTGAGCCTGGGCTATGCAAAGTACGCCTGACCTCTAATTAGTCAGGCTTTATACGGAAATTTTATGTAAAGTCGTAAAATATTCGAAGTTTTGCCGAACAAATAAGGAATTTTTTTAAACTTCCGGGGGGTCGAAGAGCTGTATTGGGTCCAAGAATATTCTACAGAGTTAGGTTACTGTTTTTGACAAACCTTACGGCGCGATACGTTAATAGCACGCGGATACACAAAAGCCAAGAGTCGGTTCGAGCGGCCGGGGGATACAATTGCCTCTCCTGACATCTTGCCTATATTTTTCCCACCTTTGGTATCCTTGTAATTTGTTATTGCGTCAAAGACATCAACATTTTAGATGCAGTAACCAGATTAACATGTTTTTACGCATTGCATAAAAAGCCTGCCTAAATCCTTAGGCTTCCGCCAGGCGTAGGCAGGCGCGGAAATGCAATTCGGCCCAAGAAAGCCTGAGGAGGCCTGCCGCTCCCTCACTCTAGCTATTATAGGCGGATCGCGGCCTTAAAAACCAGATTTTATGCAAATTTATATCTTGACCATTTAGCTCCATGATTATGCAAATCGTAATTTTGCGAATCCTCGGCATGCAAATCATCGTATTTTTTTTGCAGGTGGCAGCGGACAAAACCCCGGTTATGGGCCCTGTTCGACGAGCCGAACTCCTCGAAGTTGGCCCGGGTGGGTCTCACGGATTTATGCAAATCTATTCAAGTGTTTTCAACAACATATTAGTTACAATTACACCACATTACAGTATCCCAAAAAATCACAATTCGTCCCCCAGCCTATCAATATTTTCCTTTGGCTTTTTTCGGGTTTGGCTTTGATTTTTGAGCTCTATTTTTTCGATATAATTTCGATATAATTTCTTGCCTTTTGCCGATGCATGGCCACACCCGACCGTAATTCCATGCTAATTTTTATTATTATAGTAGTCATATTTTAATATCCTATTATTTCTGCAATTTTCTTCCTTTCGCTAACCCCCGGGCCGGCTGAGTTCGAGTTTTGGCATTTGCATTCCTATGCTTATTTGGGTTTTGAACGATCCTGATTTCTAGTGAACTAACAGAAATAAATAGCACGTATTACGGTAGAGCGAGAGAGAGCGAGAGCGAGAGAGAGAGAGAGAGGGGGGGAGGGAGAGAGCGGGAGAGAGGAGAGAGAAAGAGAGAGGGGGAGGGGCAGAGAGAGTGAGAGAGAGAGAGAGAGAGGGAGGGAGAGAGCGGGAGAGAGAAGAGAGAAAGAGAGAGGGGGAGAGGCAGAGAGAGAGAGAGAGAGAGAGAGAGAGAGAGAGAGAGAGAGAGAGAGAGGACGGTAGGTCGATTTGGTAGGTAGAAAATAATGTTTTTCCTGAAAAGTTGCGATTCGGAGCCGTTTTCAAGGGGCTGAGAACCTCGAATTCTGGGTTTTTCAGATCTTGGATCCAAATAATCTTATCATCAATCGTAGAATTTTAGATAATAAATTTACATCTGAAGTCCGTCTTATACATATTTTTCCCGGGCCTTAGCGATCCCTTTAAAGGCCATAGAAACCCCAAACAACCTGAAAATCAACAGTTTTTATAGTTTAACGATTAAAGAATAATCATGGGTACTTCTAGGAAACCAGAAATTGTGCCTAAACCCCTGAAAAAAGTCTAGCAAAATCAACCCTCTCGTATGCAAATTTCTTAGACGAATTCCGCCCATTCCGAATTGCAGCTTTTCGTAAACATTTTGGCTTTTGCAAAGCCATGGCTTCCTAAACCGTGCCCAATTTAGATACGGTCCTATCTCTCGGTACTGGTGGTGCTGGTCTCCATACTGTCCTTCATGGCCAAGACGCACCCCTACTTTCGGGTGCCCCAGATCACCGGTAGGTTAGAGAGAGAGAGAGAGAGAGAGAGAGAGAGAGAGAGAGAGATAGAGAGAGATAGAGATGCGCGACGACATTTTCCAAGATTTTATCATCCACTTACAGTTGTCTACGAGCCGAACAACTCCCTCACCAAAGGCCGAGTCGCCATCGGCGCCATCAAAGACTACACGGCGCCGTGGGCCCAGTTTTTCTACATAGACGCCATCTGCAACGTGTGGTTCACGTTTGAATTGGTGGGTTTTTGAGGGTGAGCCTCTATTAAACGTCTATTAATAGGTGAAAAGAAAATTTTGCTAGGAAGGGTTAAAAAATATCTCTGAAAGCATGCTTAAAAGCCGTTGCGAATGAATGGTTGCGAGGCGACGCAAAACTATTGTATTCAAGCGCAACGAAACTACTAATTTGCATCTAAACATCGTGAAAAAGCTCAAACACTCTCCCTGCTAGTCAAAACCGGCAAAAAGCCTACGACACTCGGGATTCCCAAGCCGTCTCCGATCCAAGTACTAACCGAGCCCAACGTTGCTTAACTTGGCAGATCGGACGGGATGCCGTGCTTTCAACGTGGTATGGTCGTAGGCGAAAAGTGGAGGGGCAGAGGGCTTCATGAAGGGAGGGGGTGCAATAGTGGGCCAGGTGAGAGAGGCTTGACAGCGATTAGGGGCGAGGGGTGTCAAAATGTATGGGGATGGACTTTTTAGTATATTTCCGTAATATTACCTGCTATAGTAAAACGCAGGTAATTTTTAAGGCTACAAACTACAAGCTACAAACTATACTACAATTCCCCGATTTTTCAGTTAGCCCGTCTCGTCTTTTGCCCGGACATATCAAAATTCCTCCGCTCACCCCTCACCGTCATCGATATCATCTGTACAGTCGCCTACTATATCGATCTCGTCCTCCACGCCATTTTGCTGCAAGCAGGTTCGCATTCAATGGCTGGCCCCATACCTTCAAGCCAAGTCTTTCCAGGTTCCATTGTCACCCTCGATTTCTTGTCGATGATTTGCGTGATGCGCCTCTTCAAGCTGACGCAACACTTTTCCGGGTTGAAGATATTGATACAAACTTTTAAGGTGGGCCTAGGTTGTATGATTTTTGTTGATTTTATTTATGATTTGAATATCGAAACTAATAATTGCTTGGTGTCAAAACCCCGAATTTTCATAATATCAAGAATTAAGAATACCGAAATTTCGGAATGTCGGAATTTCGCTAAAATTTCATAAAAAAGGCATTTAGAAATGTCGACATTTCCCATTACACAATGCCGACACCTCGAATCGTCGCCTTTCTCGATCCCAGTGTTGAGATTTAAGATACCGAAATTTCAGAATGATGAAAATTACAAAGCGTCGACATTTCAAAATACCGACAATTGAAAACGTAGAATTTTCTTAATAGCGAGATTCATAATGTCCAAAGTCTAATCTTCGAAATATCATCTTGTCGAAATTTCAAAATGCCGACATGCCCCAGTGTCGAAATTTCGCTGAAATTTCATAATACCGACACTTCGAAATCCGCATTTCCCAGTGTCGGCATTTTTGGCAAGCTAATCTAAGGAATTGCCGGTTGTTCCATTTGGAGAAAATCGGTATTCTACTACTACGGCGCGCTGAGATCTCCACTCTTTGAAATATCGGTATTCTGAAATTTCGGGTTTTTGCACTTTCGTCATTATCAAGTTCCGGCATAACGAAATTTTGGCATTATGAAATTTATAAAGCACGAATTTCGCATCGGAAATTGCCACGTTTCTAATTTTCGATGTTTCTATACCAAACCGCAATAATGATACCTTCAGGCCTCCGCCGAAGAATTGGGTCTCTTGGTGTTTTTCGTCTTGTTGGCAATTGTCATTTTTGCCGCGCTGGTCTACTATGCAGAGCGGAGCCAACTGAATCCCGACAATCAATTTACATCGATACCTTCGGGATTATGGTGGTAAGTCTCTCCCTCGCTCCCTCTCTCTCTCTCTCTCTCTCTCTCTCTCTCTCTCTCTCTCTCTCTCTCTCTCTCTCTCTCTGTTTCTAGGTCTCTGTCTCTCTCTCTCTCTCACTCACTCACTCTCTGTCGCTTTATTTCTTTCTCGCACTTTCTCTCGCTCTCTCGCTCCCTCCCCCTTAAGCTAGAAACTCCACCTTTCCAGGAGTCTAATCACCGTCTCCACCGTCGGCTTCGGAGATATGGTGCCAAAAACGTGGTTGGGCATGGTGGTCGGTTCTGTTTGTGCCATGATGGGTGTGCTGACCATCGCCCTCCCGGTTCCTGTCATCGTCTCCAACTTCTCGAACCTCTACTCCCACTCGCAGGCTCGATCAAAGCTGCCGAAGAAGCGGCGGCGAGTGTTACAGGTTTGTTTTTAGGCTTAGGCTTAGCTTATGCTTATCTTAGGCTTAGCTTAGATTAAGCTTAGGCTTTTCTTCGACCATTTACAAGAACAGTAACACTCAATAATCCTCTCGTTCAGGCTCACGAAGTCAAGCCAAACCTCCTCAGCGTCAAGAGCTTCCCAGGGAAACCGCGAAAACGCTCGAACACCCCGAACACCCCGCCCGGAGAGCGAAAGGGTGCCAATGGGGGTCTCGACAGCGGAAATCGAGATGAGAGACCGTCGAGACGAGGCCACGCCCACCATCCAAATCACTGTGAAGCCAATCGGCTCATCGAGAACTAGCTTTCGCTGCCCCTTTAAAATAAATTAACCCGAATTCCTGCTGATTAGCTTTTAAGAGTATTTCTAACGGTTTTAGATGTTTTGTAGGTCTTTCGTGATTTTTTCTCTGCTTTTAAACGTTGTTTTATCTCTGCCTCTCTGCCCCCTCCGCGCTGGGTGCACTCTCTAACCCTTAGAATTTAATTTTCAAGAATTCTAGTCCTACTGTGACCTTTCCTAATTCAAAACCGGTGTCTTTCTCTCCCCGCGATGATCTATTTGGAATCCTGTTTTTACTGTACGTCACGATACGCCCTTACACTGTCCGGGTATACGGTAGCGCTTCCAGACTTTAATTTTGTTGATCTCGTGTTGCTCTGTATCTCTGCCTCTCTCGCTCTCTCACTCTCTCCCTCTCTCTCGCTCTCTCTCACTTTCTCTCCCAATCCCGATGAATTTCCCCGCATTGCCTTTCGACATTTTTGCAAAATTTTATTTGTATTTTTTCGTGTTCAGGGTACGGTAGGGGTACGGTAGCCTCATTTTTTCATTTTCTGGTTCCTTAAAACTGTGTATTTCAGGCTACAGTACCCCTACTATTTTACCAATTTTCCCCCCGGAATAAATCCATTATCATGTAATTTTCGCGATTTTTTGCGAGTCATGGCGTGCGTGCATGGGTGTAGTTTGTAGCGTGTAGTTTGTTGCGTGCAGCTTGTAGGCTGCAGTTAATTTTTCACCAGCCACATTTTTCGCAATAAGCATGAGACTGCAATATTTTTCCACGAATTTTGCATGCAAATTATGCAAATTTCGGTGTATGCAAATTTTGCTAATTTTTGGCGACGTTAGTACTGTCCCCCAACCCGCAATTTAGAATACAGAGACCAGAGGATACGGTAGAAATCGCGATTTTTAGGCACAAAGAATGCAGTGCAAATATAGTCAAAAAGAGACCATAAGTTCAAAGGCAAAAAAGGAAAATATGCAAATTACTTTAGGGAATCGGAGCGACGTCGATCATCTTTGTCGTCGCGTCGATCGTGTCGTTTTGTTTGAAGACGCATCCGGCGTTACGGTAATGATAAGGAAGAGAGAGATCGAGAGAGAGAGAGAGAGAGAGAGGGGGCGAAAGACAGAGAGAGCGAGAGCGAGAGCGTGAGAGAGGAGGAGACAGCATGAATGCATCAAGGATTCACGCAGCTTAGTCACGCAGATCGTATTTGGAAGCCAGAGAGAGATAGAGAGGGAGCGAGAGAGAGAGAGAGAGAGAGAGAGACAGCTGGAAGAACGAGCGTTTTCAGAATTCCCACCGTTGAAGTCCTGCAAGTCAACGCTACGTCTCCACTTTTTGTATCGAAGATGGTGACGAGGTAATTTATACGGTACTTTAAATTCTCTAAATTCAAATATTTTTTGTTGATTTTGCAGTAGATTACATCGCCGAAATTAATATATTTTTCCAGACCCCACCCCTACTTTTTCTACGTCGAACTCGTGTGCAACATCTGGTTTTCGGCCGAATTTTTTGTGCGGATATTGTGCTGCCCGCAGGTGAGAGGGAAGAGCGAGAGAGAGAGAGAGAGAGAGGGAGAGAGAGAGAGCGAGAGAGAGCGAGCAGAAATCACCTAAAAGTCCCAGGTAACGAGCTTCATCCGGAATCCGATCAACATCATCGACTTGATCGCCACGATCTCATTTTACGTCGACTGGACGCTGGACAAGGCGTTGAGCAATCGGTAGGCGCGTAGTTCGTAGCCTATGTTTTGCAGGCGGCCTTGTGTATAGCCATATAGACAATATAGCCCGGTAGTTTGTAATTTTAACTTAATTAGAGTTCTGTAGTTTGTGGTCTGTAGCCTATGAAAATTGCGGCTCAATTTCTATTGCAGAGACTCGGTCGAATTCTTCTCGATTATCCGCATCCTCCGGCTCTTCAAGCTCACCCAGCACTCGCTTGGCCTCAAAATATTGATCGCCACCTTTAAGGCGTCAGCTCAGGTACGGTAGACAGACCGAAATTCTTAAAAAAATGCCATTTTCAGGAATTGTTCTTGCTCGTCTTTTTCGTCTGCCTAGGAATTGTCATTTTTGCCGCGCTTGTCTATTACGCTGAGCGTCTCACTTATAACCCGGGTAGGTCATACGTGAGCCTTAGAAAATTGCTCAAGGGCTAAAATCAACAATTTTTTCAGGTAACCAATTCGACTCGATTCCCGTCGGGCTTTGGTGGGCTGTGATTACGATTTGTACGATTGGGTTTGGAGACTTGGTAAGATTTTAGCGCCAGCGTATCGCTGCCTAGTGCGTAGCACCGTCTGGCGAAGCGCAACGTTGCTTCGCGGAGGATCGCGGAATACACCTCGTATCCGGTTGCGCTACGTTATGTAACATGTTTAATCAGACGTTTCGTAAGCTTCAAGTAGCGTGGCGTAGAAATGAGGGCTTTGTATGCGCTGCGCTGCGTTCCGTTACGTTGCTGCTGCGTAGCCGAGTGCTGCGTAACGTTGCAGTGAATAGCACAATGTTGTGTGGCGTATCACTACGTAAAATTGCGTCGCGCCGGGTAGAGTTGGGTATCGTGCGGTTGAGCCTGCGCTGCCGCCCGCTGCGTACTCACACGTAGCTATTTCATACGCCATTGCAGGTGCCAAAAACGTGGCTAGGTATGGCGGTCGGCTCCGTCTGCGCACTAATGGGTGTGCTGACGATCGCTCTCCCAGTTCCGGTCATCGTCTCCAATTTTGCTATGTTCTACTCCCACGCCCAGGCTAGGTATGCAAATATAGTCTAATTTTTATGCAAATTATCTTGATTTAAATTTTTATTAACGATCGTAATCCTACTATATATAAAAAAATAGTGTTTGTGTGTGTGTGTGTGTGTGTGTGTGCCACTTTGCATGCAACTTCCGTCAGGGTGTCCGGAGGATATCTCAAGGGGGGGAAGGGTATTAGGCTACTTATGATACGTCATTAGGTGCGTAATGAAGCCGAGATGACTGCACGCATATCAGATTTTGCAAATTTTGCTATTTTCGACATTTAAAATCGATTTTTGTTACAAATCGGGCAGCCTCTTTGTTAGGAATTAATTAGCATAAGCCGGAAGTGGCGGCATCCTATATAACGGCGCGGAGGGTGCATTTTTCATTATTTCCCAACGAAATTCGGTCGAATTATGCAATGTGCAGGATATCATGGGCTCAGACGGGGCCAGGGTTGAAAAGTCGCGAAGCGGCTTTTCAACCCTGGTTGCTTTAATTTAATTTTCAGATCCAAACTGCCGAAAAAACGCCGACGAGTCCTCCAACCGCACGAAATTAAGCCCATCGTCGGCCGGCAAACGACGGCCGTTTTGTTAGGGCAACTGGCCCCAAATTCGAACAATGGTATGCTAATTAGCTGATTTTGTAGTTTTCGCTGATGGCTGTCATGAATTTAGCAAATTAAATCTTCTAAAAATTTCGAATAGAGTCCCGACAGCCTGTCGGTATTTTCGCTGTGATTATTACGACGTTTCTGTCGGTATTACGGCTGGCGGCTTTCTTGGGATGTCGGTATTTTGGGTAGCGGTATTTGGTCTGTTGAGAATTTCTGTCGGTATTTTTGGACGTCGGGATTTTGCATGTCGGGATTTTAGTTGTCGGTATTTTCGCTATCAGCATTTTTGCTTGCGTGAATTGTCGGTATTCAGAATGCCGGTATTTTGACCTTTTCCCACTCTACAACTCCCATCCGATTTTAAGGCTTCTTATCGGCCCGCGAACCGACGATCAAAAATCCAAAATGAGGTACCAAAAATGTAGAATTTTTGCTAGATAAAAGCTTACTTTCTCTTAGATATTCTGCGAATCAAGTTTGCATATTAGTGCTCGATATAGGAATAAATTTTTCATAGTTTTCCTAGTATTTTTATTGAATTTAGCACTGTTTTATTTTTTTAGGTTCGCTAAATTGCCACACGACGCCGCTGCTGGTTTGCCCGTCGAACACGCTGCCCGCCAAGAAATCCCCCACCTCCTCAAAGGCCAAGCAATTGTTGTGATTTTTCAATGTTTGTATTAAATTTTATTTTTATATTTATTGCTGAAATTCTATTTGCATTTGCATTGTTTTTGCGCTGAATAAATTTTTATCTAAAATATGATACAAAAAAATTCTATCATAAATACAAAACTGCAAAATTCGATTCAACTCAAATTGATCTTCAAATCTTCGAATTGAAATTTTTGTAGGCTTTTTAAACGTCGAAATATTAATTTTTTTGGCACGTGATATGCTAATTGACATATGCAAATTTCGCTATATTGAAATCACACTAGGTCATTGAACTTCCCCAATTTCTCGCGGGGAAAATAGCCCTCCCCCTCAGCAGGGCGCCCTGGTCGGTCAAATTCTCAAAATTGGCAATTCCGAACGGCCGTCATTAGGTGTATTTCGTACTCAACAAAAGTTCATGAATTCCAAAATTCACTTTACGCTAATTTTTATTCCAATTTACGCACAATTCTATTTGCCAGGTAAGGAGGGACTTGAGTAGATCAGATTGAAGGTTTCTTAGCTATTTTTAGCCAATTTGGCCGGTACTTCTATGCAAATTTCAACGCTTTTGCATATTTCGTCTAAAAACCGTCTAAAAAATCGCCATTGCCAAGATTAGCTTTTTTTGTAAAAAACTACTAAACTGTCATATTGTGTGCTGAAAAGAGCGCAAGCTAGTTTCCGACTAGATACTCCCTACGACGAGGCCCAGATGCAATACCTCGTAAACCAGCAGCTGGTGCCACCACAGCAAGAACTTGTCGAAGTCGTGGTTCCGGGTTATACGGAAACTCAGGCTCCACGATTGGGCGATGACTTCTGGGACTCCGTTCGCAGGGAAGGTCGGTTTTAAAGGGGCTAGGAAGGCCAAATCGTCACTGCGTAAAGAGGTGTATACGTAGCAACTAACATAACTTCTCCGTTTCTCTAAATGGCAACAGTTTGCAGAGAAAAATATTCAACGTCTTTTTTTTTAGTAAAAGCCGGCGTCATGGAAGCCAAAGCATATCCACGCATTAATGGAAGGCATCAAAAAGTAATAGAACAACGTCGCCAGAAATCCCTCCAAATTCACCCCTACGACCCGGCAGATGACAAGAGGCCGAGCATGCGATATTCTGGCGATGAAAATGAGCGAGATTCTTATCGTTCGATCGATCGAGGCTACGGTGGAAATGCTGGAAGATCAAGAAACTTCCAGTCTGGAGCTCGAGCACGACTTCAAGAAATTCGGGAGCCGGTCGAGATATATCTGAATCAACCGGTTGTCGCCGCTATGGACAATAATGGCTGGTTAGGAGGAGGATATGCGATGAGTGTAAGTTACCTAGCTTAGGCTTAGCTTAAGCTTAGCTTAGGCTTAACTTAGGCTTAGTTTAGGCTTAGCTTAAGCTTAGCTTAGACTTAGCTTAGGCTTAGTTTAGGCTTAGCTTAGGATTAGCTTAAGCTTAGCTTAGGCTTAGCTTAGCTTTAGCTTAGGCTTAGCTTAAGCTTAGCTTAGGCTTCGCTTAGGCTTAGCTTAAGCTTAGCTTAGGGTTTCTCAGGCTTAGCATGGTCGAAGGATTTACCTGATCTTTTTGTCAGGGTTATGCTCAGGGTGGCCACGAAGAAATGCCTGTCCTTACGGTGACCACAACTACCACCTCGCCGACGAGTACAACAAGTACAACAACTACAACGACGCCAACTTCGACAAGTACAACAACAACTGCTACAACTACGACTACAAACTATGAAATTGCGACGACGATGGGTCCTAGGTGGATGTCGGTTGACTCGACAGCCACGACGAAGCCACAGGTGAGAGTTTGAAAGGGACGGGCAGGGTTCAGCTTCGAATTTCGCTGTGACGGCCCCAGATTAAGCCCTAACTAAGCCGGTGCTTTTGCATTTGCAGGGGGGATCGCGCCTTTTCGTGGTGGGCCAACTTTTCTCCAAGCATCCCATTCAAAAAATCCAATTTCAGAAAATAGACGGCGAGACGAGCTCCGAAAAAGACTTGGAAGACCTGAGCGACTTAAGGGTCAATCAGGAGCCTACGGTAATTGTTTTCTTACTTTTTTGTAAATTTCCACTTATTTAGGAGACTCCAGACGTCCCTGAAAAAGAGCCTATCGACTTTGAGCCGCTGCTCCAACGGCTAGAAGCCATTTTGGACGCGCGGATCGGGAAAGTCGAGCAGAACATTGAGGGAAATGTGTCGGCGACGATCGATAGGCAAATGGCCATGGAGAACTGGGTAATTTTTCGCTATTCAACAAAAGATTTGAATTTTAATTTTATAAAATGTCATTTTAAACCAAAAGTTGTATATTTTGAGTCGAAAATGAAAAATAACGTAAAAAATCAAATCAATAAAAATAAAAATAAATTAAAAATCATAATTATGCAAATTTTGCCTAATTTGAATGTTCCAAAGAATCGAAAGCGTCGAATTATCCCGAAAGATAGATCTTTTCAATTTTGCAATAGTGAAGTATTAAAAATTATAAAACCTGTGATTTTAAACATAAAACTGTATTCTATTTATCCAAATTTACATAACTCTCCAATTTTCAGAAAAAGCATGAGAGCCTGAAAAACATAGAAAATGTGGAAACCAAGGAAAACCAGGTAATTTTTTAACTTTCGGCATTTTGAAGATAACTTCAGGAACCCACTGAAAATATGCAAATTCAAGAGCAGGAGCCAAAAACTGCGGAGTCGAGCTCGGGAAAATCGGTATGTTTTTGGAGAAGTGGTATGCTAATATCGTCACATTTTAGTCCCATCTGATCGACGAAGAAGAAAAAGAATCAGCAGAACACTCTCGAGACGAAAATCCGGCTACGGTATCTTTTTTATTCGAGTGCATTATGGGTTACAGTAGTTTGTAGTCCGTAATTTGATGTCTTTCATAGTCGCATCAACATTTTTAGCATAACTCCGAAGAGCGCAACTTTATCACCGAGGAGTCGGAGACTCCAAGACCACCAAAAATTCCTCAGCAGGTACGGTACGGTCCTGGATAAATAGCGCAAATAGGTGGCCGCCGGAAAACCGATGACAAATCAACCCGAAAAGTCGAAAAATTCGGAATTCCTTCCAATCGGAAAAGACGGCCCGAAACCGTCGGACAACCTGGAGACGAGCGATTTTTTGGAGTCAGATGTGGCAAAGGATGTCAGGGTAAGCCACTGAATTTATTTTGGGCTTACCGAATTTTAGAACGCCTCGGCCAGCAAATCGACTTCACATGCTACGAAACATATGGATTTTTTCGATCATAGTCTCGGATCTACGGCCACACCTCCTGTTGGAAGTGGAGGGTTTGCTGTAAGGATTCGCAATTTTTCTCCCTCGCTCGCTCTCTATCTCTCTCGCCCCCTCTCCCTCTCTCTCTCTCTCTCTCTCTCTCTCTCTCTCTCTCTCTCTATGTTTTTTCTCTCTCCCTCCTTCTCTATCACTCTGACTCTCTCTCCTCTCTCTCTCTCTCCCTCTCTCTCTCTCTCTCTCTCTCTCTATGTTTTTTCTCTCTCCCTCCTTCTCTATCACTCTGACTCTCTCTCCTCTCTCTCTCTCTCTCTCCCTTTCTCTCGCTCTCTTTCTCGTTCGCTCGCTCTCTAGCTCCCTGAAAATATATTTTTAGGGCAGCGGAGTCGAAATATTCGAAGGGAAAGAACACGGAAAGCCCGGGACCCAGGGCCCCTCAAAAGCCCAAATCGAGCAGATCGAGTCCGAGCTTGTCAACGGACCAGCCAGGGCTGATCTCCAGGGTGGAGGTGAGCACGAGCTTTTTAGAAATTCAGGAAGGAGAGAAATTGGCTATGTTCCTCAATCCTGGGCTCTTGCTCCATCCTGGACATGCTTCTTAAAGGGCTGTTGCCGGCAAGAAATCATCGCTATGGCTCGAATTTTGCAGCTACAACCGGCGGAAAGTACCAACCAGGCCGAGGAATGGTCTCGAAATCAGGGATCCACGGAAGTAGTGGCTCCCCCTCCAGTCAGGATCTCGACTCGATAGGCGCCTTCCAGGCGCCCTGGAACTTTGATAAGGTCCAGCTTCGAGTCAGACTGTCCTTTATGCTAATTGCCACTTTGACTTTATCGAAGAGTTGCATTTTTAGGGAGACACCGGCGGTCATCCCGATCTCGTCACAGCCGCCGCGCCCCCTGAAAATAAAGTCGGAAAATGAAAGTATAGTCCGCCCGGCGCGAAATACGCCCAAACTACAAACTACACTTTTCGCATAATCGATTATAACACGGCGTAACTGAAATGAAATAAATTTATTAGATATCACAGACCCATAGGTGGCAACCATAACGAGAACAGAATCAAAAAGCAAAAAATATATTTAAATTAGCATCTAGAGCTCGGCCTTGTCGCCCTTCTTCTTATCGTCCTTCTTCTCGGTCTGCTTCTCCTCCTTCTTGTCCTCCTTCTTTCCCCTGGCCTTCAACTTGTCGCCGCGCTTCAGCTCGGGCACCTAGAAACGGCGAATGATCTCTGCTAGTCCGCCTGATGGTTTAATTTGGATACCCTCCAGATTCTGCATTACGCTAGCTCTCTCGCTCTCTCTCGCTTTCTCGCTCTCTCTCTCTCTCCCTCCCTCTCTCTCTTTCTCTCTCCTCTGTTTCTCTGCCCAACTCCTAAAACACCTCTGCTAGCCCGCCCTGCTTACCTCAAATCCGAAGTGCTTGATGACCTCCTTCATCGAGTTAATGATATCGGCGGGGGATGAGTAGTAGTAGGCGTACTTCTTGAACTCGGCCTTCTTGTTCTTGAACTCGGGCAGGAGGTCTCCGTTTTTGTCTGCAAACGGTTACGCTATGAAATTGGCGACTGCAACGAGTATTATTCTATTACGGGCGCCTACGGTATTGATTACGATAGGTGATACGGTAGCACGGTAGTACGATCGAAAGAACCAAAACTTACCGAGGAACAACAATCGGGGGATGTACTTTCCGTCGGGCCTGTACTCCTCCTCGTAGGGCTCCTGGAAATTAAATAGTGGCAATAAATTTGCATAAATATACTCACTACACCCTTAAGCACATTGCAAAGAATTTCTTACTTCTTCTAGTTCTAAATTTTCAGATTCGAAAAATTTCAAAAAGGTGATTTTAGCCTTTTTGTTTTTTTTTTGTTAGAATTCGATGAATTTTTTTGCCCCAAAAAGCGTTTCTGATTTGCATAAAAATACGATCAAAACGTCGGAATATTCAAATTCAATTCCAACACAAAAATCTACCTCATCATCCTCGGTGTTGACCATGATGAAATGCTCGGAGAGCGTCTTGAACGCCTTGCGGGCGTTGGACTGCTGGAACGTCTTCTTCAGCGCTAAAATTTGATCCTGAATTGTGGAAATGATTTCAATAAATCGATTAGATAATGCAAAACTAAAAATTACAAAAGCTGAAGCTCTGATTTTCGTGATTTTGCATAAATTAGCATAGCAACGGACCCTTGCAAGCGTGGCACCAGGTCTTGTGGATGAGGAGGAAGATCGGCTTGTCCTCGTCGAGGGCCTAAATTTTTAAGTATTGACCAGGGTTGAAAAGCCGCTTCGCGACTTTTCAACCCTGGCCCCGTCTGCCCCTAGGATATTCTCCACTTTGCATGATTTTCCTGGATTCCGATAAGCAAAAAATGAAAAGCGTTGCCTCTTTCCCGTTATATAGGCGATCGCCACTTCCGGCGCATGCTAATTGATTCCTAACAAAGCGAGTCTCCAATTTTGCAACAAAAACTTAAATTTAATAGCGAAAATAGGTGAATTTGTTAAATATCATGTGTGTGCAGTCATCTCCTGACCATTATGCACCTAATGACGTATCGAACATACCCCTAAGTACTTCCCTTCTTGAGATACTACTGGAACACGGTGACGGAAGTTGTATGCAAAGTGGCACAGACACACACACAAACACTATTTTTTTTATATAAGTAATATATTGATTTCAGTTTACTTAGTTTGTAAAATTATACTTTGTAAATAGCAAGTTTATTCAAATAAACAATTTTAAAGGCGTGAAAAATCTCAAAAAAATCGCAGACGAAGTGTCTTTTTCTTGGTTTGTTTAAATTTAATATTGGAAAACTGATTTTTTTAATAGTAATAAATGTTCATATTAAATAATTTAACTGATTAAAAAATTGATTGAATGCGCCAATTCAAACGATTTAATTATATTTATTAATTTCTACCTTCTCGATAGCGTCCTCCCACTTGACCCAGGCGATATCTTCTCCGTATCCTGAAAATTTACGCAAATTAGAATTTGTGTTAAAATTACCGTTTGAGAGGGGGTTCTGGTACATGTCCTTGAGGCCCTCCTTCAAAGAAGCCGAGGCCAAGCCGGCCAGGGCCAACAGACCCAGGAGCAAATTCATATCTGGAAAAATGCAGGCTTAAAAACGCTTGATACGAAAAACGTAGTACAATAAATCAATTAATCTTAAATTATACATATTAAGGGTTTTTTGACGGACCCAATAAATCATTAAAAATAATATGTTTTCAGTCCATTTAAAATTTTCAAAGCTTTTTAATAAATAGCAAAAATCCCAATAAAAACAAGCTCAACCAAAATCAGTCAAAATTTTAATTTAACTGTATTTAAATTGGGGAAACTCTATTAGAATGATTCCCCGAGAAGTCAGCAAAAATGGATCGTTTGTGGGGGGAGGTGAGGAGCTAGGTGGGCGGTTAGAGGATGGTTGGGTCAAGGCCGACCCCCCCAAGGGGTGGAAGATCTCGAGGAATCCGGGTCACTACTCCTTCCAGACTGCCCACAAGAAGCCAATTATCATTAAGGGGGTGATTACACTAAAAAAAATAACAATTAGATCACAAAAAAAGTTTGAAAGCTGAAAAACTTTTTCCACAACCAAGTATGATAATTTTGCTTAAATTTCTTAATTCTCGAGGATATATCGACTACGCAGAGAAACGAAAGCGAGAGATAGAAAGCGCGCGCGCGGGCGAGAGAGAGAGAGAGAGAGAGAGAGAGAGCGAGTGAGAGAGAAAGCGATGGGGAGAAATGCAGAGAGCACTAATGGCTTCAATCTGCTCGGCCTTCCCAGCTCGTTTAAAACGCGAATCACTGAAGCTTCTAGAAGCCAATCAGGCACAGTTGGAGCGAAAATCGACGTGTCTCAAGAAATGCCCTAGGATGGGACTAGCCAGGGAGACAAACCGGTTATCCCACCACCAACCATCCACCCACCCAGCCACCCAGCCTCCCTCTCCTCGCACTGCAAGGTCGGGAAAAAGTGGACGAAGAGAGAGAGAGAGGGGGAGAAAGAGAGAGCGAGAGAGAGAGTGAGACAACGGGAGATCGAGGTAGAAAGAGAGCGAATACGAGGAAAAGGCGATTCTGCCTGTCTAATAAATCCAGCCTACTTCCTGGTATGAAGTCGAAACTTGGACGGCAGTTAGGGGTTTCCGATTACGCGATCAAAATCTGCGCGCTTAAGCTGAGAAAATACGAAAATACGATCTTAGGGATAAATTTGCAGAAATTTCAAGGGGCAGCTGCAGCCTCAAAAATTGGGAAAGTCTTTTACACCGGATTTTTTACGGCAAAAACACGAAAAAATCTTCTTAAAATGTTTTTTCAAGGGCTCAGAACAGTTTTAATAACTTTTTCGCCTTTCAGATCGAGACTTTCACGATGAGTGGACTCGCGAGAAACTGGCACATGCAAATATGGGAGTAGCCCGAGGGCCGGATATGAACTCCTCTCAGAAACTCTGTCCAACCACCGTCCCCGTCATCCTCCCAGACTGAGCACCAAGATTCGGGCTTTGAAGCCGTCGCTCCCATGAAATCGATCGATCTTCTAACGTGTTATATTTTTCTAATTATTCTAATCCATTCTGTAAATGCTGCCCAACCGATCTGGATGTATTTGAATGGTGAGTAGGTTTTTCGGTCTTCGGGTTGGATCAGGCTTGGCTAGGCTAGCTTCTCTAGGCTTGCCTTAGGCTTAGCTTTGGCTTAGCTTAGGCTTAGCTTAGGCTTAGCTTAGGTTTAAGCTTAGTCTTTTGGCTTCGGCTTGGCTAAACCTCGTCGTTCTCTAGATCTATGCCCAAACGGGTTGGTTCCCGTAACCACCGCTAAAAATGTGGTGACCTGCGATCGGAATTGTCCGCCGGATTCAAAATGTATGCAGGGGATTTGCTGTACGGAGGCTCCAGAATGCAGGGACCTGACGCACAAGTAGGTCTTTGAAGTTTTCCTCCAGAATCTCTGCTAGCTTGCCACGAAATTCCTCAAGCAGCTCGGCTAGCTTGCCAAACGTTTTTTAGACACGAAACCTCCTTCGTCTGCATCCCAACGATTCGCCAGAATTGCCCTCAGAATAGCAGATGCGTGGCGAGCACGAGGAGGCAGCAATCGGTAGGTTTTAAAAATTAACTAATAAATTAGCTATGTGGAAAAATTTTTTAGATATGCTGTTCAACTACCAAATCGACCGTACCAATGAATCGTCTCGGAAATCAGGGGCCAGCAGATTTTGTATGTCCAGGTAGGTATTTTCACGTTCTCTCGCTCCCTCTCTCACTCTCTCACTCTGCCTCTCTCTCGCTCTCTCTCTCTCTCTCTCTCTCTCTCTTCCTATCGTTCATTTTAGCAACACATCCGGTGCTCGGCTTCGAAAGACGAGGCCTCCAAGTCTGCAAAACGTGCAAAAAAGGGTAATAATTACAGCCTTTCCAAGGCCCGACCGTAACCCTCTCAGACTCTGCATGCCGTTCCGAGACTCGGCCGTCCAGATTTGTTGCCACTCTCATGAAGCGCTATGTGGGCCCGGGTCCCAAGTGGAAGTAAAAGGAGCGCTGGCCAAGGACTGCTCGAGGGAACGATGCTCGTCGGGGTTAGAATTTCCGCTTTCTCTGTGTATAAGCAAGAAAATATCGACACGCAAAATACCGACAATTAAAATGCCGACAGCCGGCTTACGACTATGTTAACGTCGGGCCTCTCTCTCGCTCTCGCTCGCTCTCTCTCGCGCGCGCGCTCTCTCTCTCTCTCTCTCTCTCTCTCGCTCTCTGTCTCTTTCTCGCTCCCAAATATCTTCTTCCAGACACGAATGCAAATTCGCGGACAGCCTGGCCGTCTGCTGCTCGTATCCAACTTGCCCGACCGGCGAAACGGCATCCAGGGTACGGTATAAAATGCAATAACTAGGTTTCAAACAATTTTCAGATCTGTGGCGCTGGATGCGCACGTTTTGAGAAGTGCGTCGACTTGGCGGAGGGGAGATGGTGTTGTCCGAGAGGGGAGGACGAGCTGGAGAGGCAGTGCCCGGGAGGAATTCCGACGTAGGTTGCGGTTGGGGTTTGTAGTGGGGTAGCTAGCAGAGATTCTGGAGGACTAAAGGTAGCATAACAGGTCATTGATGCTATCTTTCTACCGTACTCCTCTCTAGAGCCGGCCTATGTTCATTGGAGCATCCGGAATGCGGTGAGGGAAATGTCTGCGTGGCGTCTGATCAACTGGATGGAGGCTTCATGTGCTGCCCGGATCCTGGACTTTTGAGCTTGACAAATTTGTTAAAAGGAATTGCGCGTAAGTTTCTCTCTCTCTCTCTCTCTCTCTCTCTCTCTCTCTCTCTCTGGCTATCCCTATTTTTTCAGCCAAACGTCCGACACCTCCCGCAACCACGATACCCACCACGTTCCCCTGGTTTACCCCACAAACCACAACCCGAAAGGCGCCGACGAGGTAGGCTTAGCTTAGGTTTAGCTTAGGCTTAGCTTAGGCTTAGGTTAGGCTTAGCTTAGCCGTAACTTCGGGATAGCTTAAGCTTCTTTTTCTAAGCCGGGTTTAGACCCTTGAAAAAGACGGCAAAACCGAGGAGACGCGTCACCACGACTACCACTACAGAAATGTGAGTTTCAGGGGGATAAATTGCAGGGATTCTTTGGGTTTAAAAGCAGTGGGAACGTTCTGAGATTTTTGAGGATTAAAGAGACATGTGAGGCTTCTATAAAGAAATAGGGCAACAAGCAGAGATTCTTCATGTTTAAAGCTATCCGGCTAGGCTTACAGTTGGCCAAAATGGGCTAGCTAGCAGAGATTCTTGAGGATTAAAACACAAACGTATTGCATCACGACATCTAATCCCTAATATCATCTTTCCAGGCCCACAATCCCGATCATCTGCCCCCAAGGTGGGCCACCGCTGGGAGTAGACGAGGCCTATCTGATGTGCCCAGAAGCCGGGGCGCCCTGTCCAAAGGTGCCTGGCGTAGTCAAAAATTATGCCCCATTTTAGGCCGGCCACACATGCCAGGAGACGAACATTGGCGATTTCTACTGTTGCCCGGTGGATGAATGGGAGGTGGAAGAGGTAGGGTGTTTTAAAGGAAGCATGACAGCACTGGTGTCTGACTCTGACTCGGAGTGTGACAACGTTTTTTTTCAGCTAACTACCACCTCGACCACCCCTGTATTCACCTTCCCCACAATCCCATCACCCCGCCCAACAACCCAGGCCGCCTGGCTGGCCCTGTTGACGATGATGCCGAGAGCGACGGTGACCTCTACCACCACTACGGCTTCGACCACAACTTTTCCGGTTTTTCCGGAAGAGGAGTTGACGGATAGGTACTTTAAACGTCTCCGCTAGCTTGCCCTGAGCTAGCAAATTTTCTTGAAGAATCTTTGCTAGATTGCCCTGAAAAGCGCCCTTTTCAGACCGGAACCACCAACAATTTTCCCAAGAGTCTCTGCTCGTTGCCCCTTCGGACACCACTCGATTATTAGTGAGCTAAACGGAGAGTTGAGAAGTTGCGCCGGGTGGCTAGATTTTACGTGCGTTTTTGTTTTTATGGTTTCTGCTCTATTTTATGGCTTTTACTGAGTTTTAAGGATAGAAGATGCATTATCTCCAATGATATTTTCTAGTTATTTCCCCAATGATGTTTGCTAGCTTGCCCTGAGCCTCAAATTTTTTGCGTTTTCAGATGCCCGTTGACCTATACGTGCATGGCCTCCTCGACGACGCTGTCTTTCTTGTGCTGCAAGCTGAACCACACGATGCAAGACGGGATGCTGAAACTTGCTTAATAAGAATAATTGCATTTCCGTGATGATAAAGTTTTGAAATGTTTGTCTGTCTCTCTCACTATCTCTCTCTCTCTCTATATCTGTCTCGCACTTTATCTCTCTCGCTCTCTCTCGCATTGTGATCGCTTTCCTCATTCTCCCAAAGAAACTCTGCTAGCTTACCACCTGAAATTCTTCCATGTAGTTGAGTGCGGGAACAAAGAAAGCCAGCTAGCAGAGAACCTTGTGGAACTCGTGAAAGAGGGGGCAAGCTATCAGAGATAGCTGGCGAATCTGTGCGAACCAGGTCGCCTAGCAGAGAGCCTTACGGAAATAGGCGCCGGGCCGTTGGCAGAGTTTCTTGAGGAAGTTGGCACTTAGCAGAACTTCCAAAGCCTCCAATTTTTAGATCTTTGGCCTGATTTTCCCCAATGATCTCTGCTAGCCGCCTTTTAAAATCCCCCTCAAAATTTGATGTAGGTGGATGTGGCTGTGTGTGTGCGTGCTGGCATTTCCATGTTTCGGGGCCGCAGGGGGGGAAGTCATGGCCACTTATATTTCCTTCCACTTCACTCTCTCTCTCTCTCTCTCTCTCTCTCTCTCTCTCTCTCTTCTGGCCCCTCTAGGGCCCTTCTGGGGGCCCAGCTATTGATTATTTGCCAGGGCCCTGAGGGCATCCAGCAAAGGGGGGAGGGGGCTCTATTTTCCGAAGGCCCCCGCTCCGCCGGACTACGCCTTATTACTAATAACGGGGTGGGAGAGCGAGGGAGAGAGAGAGAGAGACTCAGAGCGTCACAGGGCTAGAGAGACATCACAGAAAAGGCATTTTAGCGGCGTAATGGAATGAGGGAGTGACTTAGCACTTGAGGTCATGGTAGGCTAGCAGAGAACTTTGAGGAAATATTTAGCTGGGCAGGCTGGCAGAGAAATTTTGAGGAATTCGACTCTCAGGACGGAATCTAGCAGAGGATCTTTAGGAATTCCTTGCCCAAGCAGGCAATCCAGCAGAGACCTTTGCGGAATTTTGCCTGGAGGCAAACTAGCAGTGATTCTTTGCGAAATTTAGCGGCCAAAACGTAAGCTAATTTTTGAGAAACTTATAGCAGGGCAGGCCAGCAGAGATTCTTTGCGGAAATCGCCCAAGAGGCGGGCTAGCAAAGATCATTAGGGATTCTGCAGAATCCGCATTTTTGCAATTTTGTCTACCGTACCCCTGAAATATGATGCCCCGAAATAATGGCTAATCCGCCGGGGCAAAAACGCTGCAAATTGCGGGCCACATTTTAGGAGAGGAACGTCCGGATAGAAATAGAGAGAGAGAGAGAGAGAGAGAGAGAGAGAGAGAGAGAGAGAGAGAGAGAGAGAGAGAGAGAGAGAGAGAGAGAGAGAGAGAGAAAGAGAGAGAGAGAGAGAGAGAGATCAGGGCCAAAGGGAGGGCCCAGATAGGGCCCCTGCCAGCCGATGGAACACCGCGAAACCCGTGAGGCCAGGCAATTCTGAAGCGGAAAATGTGGGGAAGGAGGAGGGGAGCGAGGATGCATCTCAAATTGAGAGAGCGCCGAGAAGGGCCCACCCCCTAGGGCCCAACCAACCCTGTTGGAGTCACACCCTCTTCAGCCCATCTGGGCCCCCCTTGGGGCCCAGACACACACCACAGCGAACACACACGCCCCCGGGGGATAAGTGCCCTGGGATTTTGGGAGGGTTTGATTTTGATTTTCATATATTATGGCAACCTTTTGGCGTTATTTTTCACAAAAATATTTGCTAGATTGCCAGAGACGACTCGATTCTGCAACGAATGCAACGGCTAGCTTGTATCCGAAAATGAAATTTCTCAAAGAATCTCTGCTAGTTGGTTGCCGAAAATGGAATTTCTCAAGGATTCTCTGCTTACCTATTTTCCTGCAACCGAATTCCTAAAGAATCCCTGCTAGCCTATCTTTCTGCAAGCGAATTCCTCATGAATCTCTGCTAATAGGGCTGTTTCCGGTCCTAATTTTCGCCAAGAATGGCTGCTAGCTCTCCGCTGATGAGCTGTAATTTTTTAAGGATCTCTGCTAGCCTGCCTTGGAGCAAAACTCTCATGCTCAAAAACTCAAAATTCCTCAAAAAACCTCTGCTGCTACTTCCCAAGGGTCCCTGCTAGCTTGCCTCCCAAGATCAAATTTCGCAAAGAATCTTTGCCGGTATGCCTCGTGGAAGGGGATTTCTCAAAGAATCCCTGCTAGTTCGCCGCCTGAGAAGAATTCCCGCAAAAAATCTTTACTAGCCTCTTTCAGCATCTAAATTCTCAAGGAATCTTTGCTAGCCGTCCTTCTGGCGACAAAAGTCCTAGATGATCAATGCCTGTTTGCCGTTTTCAGGCTAAGGACAGCCTAGCAGAGATTCATTGAGGAATTTCGCGGCAGGCGAGCTAGCAGAGATTTTTTGAGGAAATTCGAGGCTCGGTAACTAGCAGTGAACTCTTTGAAAAATTCAGATTCAACTCTATCCCTCTCTTTCCCAAAAATTTGTTTCCCGTAAATCGATTCCTCCTCTCTGACCCCTTGGGGGCATGGAGCACGAGCGCCTAATCCAATTTTCCCCAATTTTCGCCTTTTGCTGTGCGTGGCCCAGGCTGCGGGGCTAGTTGAACAATTTTCCAATTTTGTTCCGGGACCCGGCGGCGTTCCATCGAAATTTTTTAGTGGTTTTTATTGGTGGCCGAAAAGTTTGAGACGTTGGAGGGTAGAGGAGCTTGAAATTGAGGACCGGAAGGGGCCGGCCTAGGGAATCTTGAGATACTCTCGGGCCTCCGAAATTAATCCTCTCTTTCAGGCGGGCTCGTGCTCAATGTGAAAATAAATATCCGGTGGCTGTAGAGGATTTTTCGAATGGATTTTGGGGATATTTTTGGGCTTCAAGGTCTTGTTTGGCCGCGCGAGAAATTGATCAAAAAGCTTGAAAGAATCTGTCTCTCTCTCTCTCTCTCCTCTCTCTCCAATGGTAACCAGCAGAGATTCTTGCGGAATTCTGTCGCGCGGTAAACCAGCAGGGAATTCTCTGGAATTCTGACTTGGGGCAGGCTGGCAAAGGCTTTTGGGAATCTCTTTCACGCTCTCTCTCGCCCGATCTTTCTCTCTCTCTTACTCTCTCGTTATCAACCATTTTTCAGGATTTATGGACTCAAGCTCCGAGAGCGGCCATGGACATATCGTAAGCCCATTTTTGTGTTATTTTTGGTACTAAAAACTACATAAAACCAGGCGAATTCGGTTTACAACCCTAAAAATTCCGTCCTACGCCTCTTAACGGTCCATTCTTCTGGCGTCAAGATGTGTACGCCGGGTTCCCATCGACACCCCCGCAACCATAGGCCCCCACGGAGGGCACATTCATTGTGAAATTGTTTCTCAGAGAGTGAGCGAGAGAGCGTGAGAGAGAGAGTGAGAGATAAAGAGAGGGGTGAGGGAGACATGCTAATTCCCGGGTGCCCAACGCCGACGACCGGAAATGAATTGCTGGCTTTTTGATCCCGAGAAAGGAGCCTTGGTGAGGTGTTTTCGCCTTCGGGTTCAAAGGGAGCGTGACAGCAAAGTTGCGCAGAAAACCTAAAGAAGCCAGCAAGTTTTCCCTGTCTCGGTTTCTTAAATAAAAATAAAATAAAATTCCGAAAGAATTTCTACTATCATACCTCTCGTTAGAGCGAGCGGAGAGAGAGCGAGAGAGAGCGAGAGAGAGCGAGAGAGAGAGCGAGAGAGCGAGAGAGAGCGAGAGAGAGAAGGAGAGAGGGAGAGAGGGAGAGAGAGAGCGAGAGAGAGAGAGAGGGAGAGAGAGAGAGAGAGAGAGAGAGAGAGAGAAGGAGAGAGGGAGAGGGGGAGAGAGTGGACCCTGACGCACCATTCCCATCTCCGGCTTCTGGGAATTTTCACAATTTTGATAGCCCGGATTCCCCCGGCTACAAAAGTTGGGGATCAGAAATTGAGTCTCAGCTTCCTGGTTTTAGCCAAAGTCATTTCGTGGTTCCTTTAAAAGCTTGTTATCTCTCTATCTCTCCGCTCTCTCTCTCTCTCTCTCTCTCTCTCTCTCCTTACCTTGTACCTAATACCGTACCCTCGAAAAATCGCTCGCTCGTGCTCACTTTCTCGAAACCGAGAGGATTAATGTGGGGTGAGAAGTGCATATTTTGAGGTTATTAGACGCGTGAGCCGCGGTGGGGGCTGAATCTCATCCCCTCTAAGCGAATGCATGCTAAATGTTGCCCCCCCCCCCGTCTCGGGCGTGTAAAGAGGATTTGGCCGGAATGGAAGGGGGGAGATGGAGGCCTTGGTGTTGCTATGTGAATAATCGGGGGATCGGCTAAAATGAAGGTTGGGGGTTTTGGAAGTGTTTTTTAGAACGTCGAAGATTTAGGGTAGACTAGCAGAGTGCATTTAGGGAAATTTTGGAAATATGCTAGCCAGAAAGTTCTCGGAAGGCATACTAGCAGGGAATCCTTGCGGAAAGGTTTATCGTAGGCAAGCTAGCAGAAATTCTTTGAGAATTCCTCCGGAAAAGGCAGGCTAGCAGAGGTTTTTGAGGATTACAAGAAGCGAGCAGGCCCCCAGAGAATCGGATGGAAAGTCGCAGAAAGGCAGGCTAGCAGAGAGCCTTTGGGAGTGCTGGATCGGGCTCCAGCAAACCCAGTTCCTTGAGAAATTCTTGAAAATTCAAGATTTACGTCGTACGTCGTAGGGTAGCAGAGGTTTTTGAAAGAGCCGGCTAGCAGCGTTCCTTCAGGATTTTCTAGCTGAGGCAAGCTAGCAGAATTTCCTTAAGAAAACCTTCAGTCAGATCTAGTTTCCCGAACCTTCTAGCCCGGTACTTTTTGCCGCATGACAAAATCGCGGCGAGACCCCCGGGGCCATGAAAAGTGAGGACAAATGGCCGGGGGCCGTTCCCCTAGGTGTGATTTTCGAGAAGAAGACCGCTGGAAGACATCCGTTTTTGGACCTAGTTTCGGCCCAAGACCCTCGGAAAGCCCAGAAACACTTTCTCGCCATATTTTTCGACCGTGGCAGGGTTTTTTAAATCCCTAAAAATCACTAAATTCGGATTATGATCCCATTCCGGAAGCCCCCCTCGCAACGCTCCAGTACTATTGACCGATTTGTCACCGGAAATGAGAGCATTGAGGGCAAAGAACCGTTTTTGCGGAGGACGGTGGTACGGTATTTCTGGGATATGGTGTTCCGAGGATTAGAGAAAGAGAGAGAGAGAGAGAGAGAGAGAGAGAGAGAGAGAGATAATGAGCGAAAAGTGAGCGAGAGAGTGAGCAAAAGTGCGAGAGTTAGAGAAACAAGTAAGAGAGCAAGAGGGCCAGGAAGTGAGTGAGAGAGCGAGAAACAAAAAGAGAGAGCGAGAGAGAGAGAGAGATCGACAGAAAATCAGAATTTTTGAAAATGTCTCTGGTTTATAAACCCCAGAAATCCCGTTTTATGCAAATTTCAAAACAATTAACTTTCAAGGCATAAATACGCATTAACTAAACGTAGGAAATTTTTTATAAACTTTATTGAATAAATTATTATTTTCAGGGAGAAAAACTGTGCACGATCGCCGAGGAGAGCCTCGAGTCGGCGCGAGACCTGGCGCGCCAGGAAAAGGTACTTTTCTCGTGATTACGGTAGTATGGGTGGAATTTTTAGCTAGCCGAGGCCCACCCGCCGAAGAAGTCGGCCACGTTCGGGACGTCGGCGGATCTTCGCCGGCATACTGGTCGGTTTTAAAGATTTCTTTTTGACGTGGAATCAGTAAAATACGGACTAACCAATCGACGAATTTAGCATATCACCTCTACCGCTCAAAATCCGGGAAGAACCTCAAAACGGAGCAGCCCCGGAAGCGGAGTCTACTCGTTGAGGTTGGCAATTTTTGTCGCAAGCACCTGATTTGCATATTTCTCTTTTTCTTTGAAAATAGGGCTTTTTAAAGGCCCTCGGAAGGCAAATTGAAACCTATGCTTGCTGGCAACGTCCTTTTAGAAAAGCTTAAGCGGCTTCACAATCTTTTTCGAGGCGTTAGGCAGACGAGCGGAGATTCTGACAATTCTTACCTGGAGGCAGGCTAGCAGGGGTTAGTAGGGAGATACAGACGTCGGATTGGCAGGTTAGCAGAGCTTCTTTGTGGAATTTTGATGAAGAATCCTAATTTTTGGACGGCAAACTAGCAGAGATGTTTGAGAAATTTTTTAGGCAGCTAACATAAACCTTTAAAGAATTTGAGGAATTGGTGGCAAACTAACAGAGATTCTTGAAAAATCCCGATTTTGGGTGGCAAGCTTGCAGAGATTTTTTGAGAAATCCGTTGTTCCTTTATAGCTCTCTTTCTCTCTCACTCGCCTTCTCTCTTTCTCTCTTTCACTCTCTCTCTCTCTCGCCTCCTCTCTCTCGCCTTCTCTCTCTATCTCTCCTTCTAAAAGTGGTGCCAAGCCCGGCTTCTCAACCCCACATTGGGTTGTGGGGCCCAGTTGTGTGTGTGCTCCCCTTCCCCCACTTGGCATTCCTCATGGCAATGGGGGTGAAAAAGTCGGAGCGCGTGTTTTTCGGATTCCGGCTTTTCCCTTCCCCCTCTACCAATCCGTCAAACAGCTCCCTGCTGCTCCTCGAAAAAGCTATCTGCCCCCCCGCTATTGGCCACTACCACTAGGGCCCAGCCAGGTCCAAATATTGACGTTTTCTACCCTCACTCACCCCATCCGTTCCGTTTGGTCGTCGTATTCCAGCGGAATTCCTATTTTGAGCCGATTTTTGGGGCTTTGCCAATTTTTGCAGAGAGAGAGAGAGGGAGAGAGAGAGACATACAGAGAGAGAAAGAGTGGGCACAACCGCACCCGATCCCTAGATAAGGATTAATAGCAGTGATTCTTTAGGGAAATAGAACTTGGGGCAACCTAGCAGAGATACTGTCACGCTCCCTTTAAAACGGCCGAAAATCAGCTAGCTAGCAGAGATTCTTTAGGAGATTTTTCCTACCTGTCACGCTCCCTTTAAAAATGAGGGTCGGCATCCTAGCAGAGATTCTTTAGGAATTCCGCTGTCTTCCTCCCCTTATCTCATCTTCCCTGGTAGCTCTTTAGGTTCCTGTACGACTTGATGGTATTTTGGTGATCAGCCCCAACAACAGGGTGTGGCCCCTGGATGAGAGAGAGAGAGCGAGAGAGGAAGAGAGAGAGAAAATAGTGGTCAGCTGGGGGCCCAGTTCTCAAGGGTCCAATTCGTGGGGTGGGGCCCCCACGTAAATAACAGCAAAAGCCGATGGGGGAGGGGAGCTGGATGTTGACCGAATGGACCCGAGGGTCATTCTTTGCTGACCGAAAGGGGGGCCAAAAAAATGTGGCTTTCTCTCGCTCTCTCTCTCTCTCACTCTCTCCCACTCACTCTCTCTATCGCTCACCTGGAGCAGCTGAGGGTTCCAAAGATTCCTGCAGAAGTGTAGTCCTGACTTGGCTCCTTGAAAGTTCTGGGCTTGGTTTCTGAGGTTAAGGTTAGTTTCGGCTTAGCTAGGCTTAGGCTTAGCTTAGGTAGCTTAGGCTTAGCTTAGCTAGGCTTAGGCTTAGCTCAAGCTTCGCCTTACCTTGCTTTTTACTTCCATTTTGTACTTCTTTATGCTCTCTGACGGCTCTCGCCCTCATCGCGATCAGATTTGCGTCAAATGGGCTTCTCCCTCCACCCGCTTGCCTTGTCTGCGGGGTGTGCCCCCGGAAGAAGCCCCCCGGAGGGTCACTATGCCTACCCTTCCCACGACTACACCTCAATCCTATGTACAACTATTACAACTTTGGATGATTACAGGTTACGCCTAAGTCTAAGCCCAAGCCTAAGCATAAGCTTAAGCTCAAGCCCTCGCCCTTCTTCGAGCTTTTAAGGCGCTGCGACACCAATAATTTTTCACACCTCCACACCCATAGTACGTTCCCATCCCGCTTTCACTAATCCCGGAATTAGTAGTATCGCGGAGCCGAGGTTCTATTTACGTGTCTACCCCCCCCCCTCCTTGGCCATACTGAATAGGGGCTCATTTCCGGCCGTTTTGGGGTGTGTTGGAGAGAGAGCCGAGAGAGAGAGGGGAAGGGAGAGAGAGAGAGAGTGAGAGATAGGAATTCGAAGCTATTCATTTGACGGGATATCCGGGGGTATCCATTGTTTTCCTGTATCCCCACTGACCGGGATCTGCCCCTGGATTCCTTGGAATCCGAAAATGCCATTGGGGACGGTTGGCAATTGGTTTGAAAGGGATAGTGACAGCGATTTGAGGGTTTTTAGGAGCAGTCAGTCCTAGAGAGATAGACATAAATAGCGAGGGAGAGAGAGGGCGTGAGGGGGAGAGAGAGAGATAGAGAGAGAGAGAGAGAGAGAAAGAGAGAGAGAGAAAGAAAGAAAGAGACAAACCCACTAAAAACGTTTTCTTGGCTACCTTTTGACCGGGAAATTCGTAAAGAATCTCTGCTAGCCTGCTTTCTCTTACTCGAGTCCTCAAAGAATCTCTGCTAGCTTGCCCCAGAAATTTCTCTTCTTCAAAGCCTCTTAAGACATCAGGTTATAGTTAAAGTTCTCGAGCGCTAGAAACTCAGCTGTTTTTTACCAATATCCTTCCTAGCCCCTTTAGCGGAACCTTTCGCGTATAAACAAGCCGTTTAGAGCCCTGCTAAAAGCTCGTGCTCCCCATAGCACCCCCCTCCCCCCGAAGAAGTCCAATAGCCCTTTTTGTGCCCCTAGTTCCAAGGGCATATCTTCGGAATTCCTGCCCGGCCACGCGCTGAATATTTGATAGAAAATTGGTTGGGGTGAGGGCAAGCGATAAGTACAAGTCCATTAGAAGCGGAAGGAACGAAGGAAGGGCAAGAGAGAGGGGAACGGGGTGGATAATTAACAAGGTGAGAGAAAGAGAGAGAGAGAGACAGAGAAGGATGCAAAAACACGAAATGGCCGGCTTTGAGAAGGGTGGAACGGGCTTCTGGGGGGCCCCCCCACGTCGTCTCATTGATCTCGAAAATTGTGTCGAGCCCTCGTGAATTTTTGGCTTCTTGGCGTCGAATTTTGAAATGTGACTTGAGTTCACTCAGCTCTCTCTCTCCCTCTTTCTCTCTCGCTCTCTCTCGCTCTCTCGCTCTTTATCTCGCTCTCTCTCACTCTCTCGCTCCCTCCCCCTCTCCCCCTCTCCATCTCTCTCTCTCTCTCTTTTTCTTGAGGCTAACTGGCAGAGTTTTCTTGCTGAATGACAATGCGTGGAGGCTAGATAGCAGAGGTTCTTGAGGAAAATCGCTTCCTGAAGACAGGTTGGCAAATCTGGCTCTCACTCTCTCACAAACTCTCGCTCACTCTCTCTCTCTCTCTTTCTCTCTCTCTCTCTCTCTCTCATCGATCTCATCGCCCAAAAGCCAATTTCCCACATTTCAACAAAAAATCTTGGGCCGGGGGCATCAATTAGAAATTAGGAATTTGCCCCAGCCCCCCTCGGCGGCTCAAATCGAAATTTTCCATTGCCTGCCCTCTGCATTGGGGCCAGATTTCCGGGATCTTCGAGGCGATACAATATCAGGGCAACAAAAAATGATGAGCCGGTAATCCGGGTGCGGGGGATTATCGGCACCACATCCGATTCTGCAATCCTCCAATCCATAGGTTTCGCACGGCTCCAAAATTTTTGCGCGGCCCTGGGAATTTTCTGGATGCGTTTTTGAGCACGAATTTTGAGTTTTGAAATGATGTCAACTATTTTGTCGATTTAAGTGTCGTAATCGATTCGAAGGTTCAGGGCTAGCTAGCAGGGATACCTGACTATGAGGAAAGTTGTTAGTTTTTAATCGGAAGCGTGCAGCAGCTAGCGGAGATCCTTGAGGATTTTCTATTTTGGAGGAACCTAGGAAACTTAACTGAAAACTTGAACCTCTGCGTGGCAAACTAGCAAAGCTTCTTTTGGATTTCAGCTCTTTCAAAGCAAGTTAGCAAAGATCATTTGGGACTTCAGGCCCTTTGAGGCATGCTAGCAGGGATTCTTGAGGATCCTGGACTCTCAAGGCAATATAGCAGTGATTCTTTGGGAATTTCTGCATTTTGGCATCAGATTTGGTCGTTTTCGACGTGGCAAGCTAGCAGAGAATTTTGGAGAGACAAATTGCTAGGAAAAAGCGTCTAATTCCGATTCCGACGTTCCTAAATCGTGGCCTACCTACCGTAACCCTACCATTCCAGATGGGCTCCCGGTTGAAGCTGTTCCCGACGGGTTCGGTCCTTTCCCTCTCCCACAACAGTCTGCCCGCCATTCCCAAGGCCCAATCGCTCAATTCCTTCGAAAACGGTGAGGTTTAAGCGGTTACGACAGGGAATTGGCATCGATTACGCTATGAAATGATCGATTACGTCATGAAAATCCGATCTATTAGGATAGCAAAATTAGATCGTGAGTCAACAAGTTTAATTCATTTTTGAAAAAAATTCAATTGATTACGCCATCAAATTTCATCAATTACGCCAGGACAAACCGAAATTAATTTATGCAAATTGCGACGCGGTAGATAACTTTTTATAGGCAGTCGATTACGACATCTAAAATCAATCGATTACGCAAGTAAAAACAATTACGAAACTATCATGAAAAAGCGCGCTATCGATCACGCTACAAAATCGAACTGAATCGATTACGCTATAAAAACCCAAACGATTACACCATTAAAATCCCAATTCCAGTGTCATGTGCCTCATCTCGAATTCCGTCAACTGGGGGCGGAAAGCGATCGCAGCGCGTACGGGTGTCGCCGCGCGGTGTCGGGAGTATCGTGTCGTTGGACCAGGGTGGGTTACTGTAGCTTTCATTACCCAAAAAAGTCTGTTATCTTAAAATCATAACAATTTTTAAGGTGCCACCAAGTTCTGCTCGTTAATTTTTGTCATTTCATGGCGAAAAAAATCGCTTTTTTTGGTTTTTAAGGGAGTGTGACAGGCTGGAAAATTTTTGTGCCACGCCCCCTTTAAAAAATAACTTTTGAAATGTTCTTTGAGTCTCTAGAACTCAAAATAACCCCATTGAACCCGAAAAATCTTCGCACAAAAAATACCCGGCGCCAAACTACCGCCTCTAGGAATCGGCAATTCTGGCTATTGTCTACGGGAGCGCCGACTATTTTCTCTATTCATCTTTGCCTTCCGATTTTCTATTGTTTCTCTCCCTCTCTCTCTCTCTCTCTCTCTCTCTCTCTCTCTCTTCCATTCATTTCTTACCTGTGGTGCGTTAAGATTAGAGGGGCCAGTCGGAAATCAATCTGGAATTGGCAAGCTAGCAAAGACCCTTTAGAAAATCCGCCAAAAACTGATAATTGGAATTTGAAAATGAATTCTTCAGAAGGCAGGCTGGCGGAGATTCTTGAAGAAATCGCACTCGCAGTGCTGAGTAAGCTAGCAGAGATTCTTTAGGAAATCGGACCCGAGTGTCGGGCAAACTAGCAGATTCTTTAGGAAGTTTCTTTCCACCAAGAACCGCATTAATTTTGGGCAAGGGCAAGGGCAGAGAAACTTTAGGAAACTTATCGAAGATGCACTAGTTTTCTAGATAAGAGTAAACTAGCAGAGCTTCTTGAGGAAATTCGAAGCACGCTTTGAGGCAAACTAGCAGAGGAACTTTCAGAAAACCTTTGCTCCTCTGCTGTAGGGCTACCTAACAGAGATTTTTTGCAAAACACCACCATTCCCTTAAAACCCGCAACGGCAACTCTCGTACTCAAATCACAGCCGAGAGATCTTAGGATTTTCGGGGGAGTCTAATTTGGGTGGCCCCTGGAGTGTCCTTTTTCGCCTTCGGGGTATTCTGACTAATGATCTGGGTTAGGGCGAGAGCAAGAGAGAGAGAGAGAGAGAGAGAGAGAGAGAGAGAGAGAGAGAGAGAGAGAGAGAGAGAGAGAGAGAGAGAGATAGAGAGATAGAGAGAGAGCAAGAGAAGAAAGGGTACGGCTTCAGGATCATTCCGGCCCCTCCTTCTCCCCTTCATTCCACTCTGTTCCGCGCTCGGCCAGGGTGCACTTTAGCCTACCCGTTTTAGCGTATTTTGGCGCAAAATAGGGCTTGGATTCCGCTGGGCTCCGGCGCCTTTTTGAGTTTGAAAAAGCCGCTTGAAGGGGTGTAAAATCTAGTTCCGATTTTCTCCGTTTTTTAGAGAATTTTGGATGGTTTGGCAAGTTTGCGTTGTTCGATAATTCTAATTGAGAGGGGAGAGCGATGGAGAGAGCAAGAGTTAGAAGAGAGAGCGATCGAGAGAGGGAGAGAGCAAGAGCTAGGAGAGAGAGGGAGAGAGAAAGAGCTAGGAGAGAGAGAGAGGGGAGAGAGAAATCACGTTATTTTCATTAAATGAAACCAATCTCCACATTTTGCACCATTTTTCGTAGTTTCCCTGTTCCCACGGGATTTTAAATCAAAACGACACGCTAAACAGAAAATGGAAATTTTTTCGGACTTGACAAATCGAGCCCGAATTCGCCGGATTCCCTTAAAATTCGAGACAAACAATTCCGGAAGCCAACTAACTTATTGATTTTTGGATTTCAGCTTTATGTATTGAGAGGTTTTTTATTTTATTAATTAAGAATTTACTATAAATATGCAAAAGCACAAATTACATATATTTTTGACGTTTAGTGGAGTGCGGCGTACCGGGCACGTCACCATCGCAGCTCGGGATGCTGTGCTCGCACTGCTCAACCCAGGATATCCCCTGCGCAAAGGCCATCCAAGTACAGCAGGTTCGTCGGGATTTTTTATATTTTCAGGGGTAAACTACAGGCTACAAACTATAATTATAGGGCTTCAAAATAAACAAAACAAGGATTAGGATTTGTGGGGTTTTTCGGTAATTTTTGCTAACTTTTTGCTTAAAAGGGAGGAAAATCAATCAAAGCCCGTTCTTTTGTATTTTTTCATGTTATACTACAAACTACAAATTGTCAAAATATGTGCTTTGACTAGAAAAAATGCCAAAAATAATTTGTTGTAACGTTTCTAGTCATTTTTCGCCGATTTCTGATTAATCCATGTGAGAAAATCGAGCAAAATTAATTATTCTGTATTTTTGAGGGTTAAACTACAAACTATAACAGCAAAATACAAATGTCTAAGGCTAAAAAATAAAAAATAAGAATTTGCAAAATTTCTCAGCCATTTTTTGCTAATTTTCCGATAAACTCATGCTCAAAAATTGGAACCGATTCCTGGAATTTTTCCGGAACACTCCAATCACCGGTAATTACGACAGGATGGTAACCCGGAAAGGGGGCGGATGCCTACGTAGCGATACGGAAAGACGGAAAGCCGTCGTCGGTGGGCCCAAATTTCCGGTGTCCTCCCCGGTAATTGGCCACTTTTTGCGTGTGAAAGGTGGCTTCAACTGGCCCATCAAAACATAGGAATTTTCCAAGAGACTCTCACGCCGGATTCAAATCTAATAACTGCATTTTTTGGCGAAAAACCATCATTTTTAGGGCGTTTTAAAAAAGGATAAGCTTGCGTACCAGCAAAAAAATACGGTAGTACCTTTAAAATGATCTGTTTGTGTTATGTAAATTTAACCAAAAGTGTAAGGGAAATTTTTCACATTTTTATTTTTACAAGTTTAATAGTCGTGAAAAATCCTCTAAAAAAATTCATTTTTTGTAATGTGCAAACAGCCTTCCTAAATACCGTAGACTTTATCACGGAATTTTGGACGAATTTGTATCCGTGAATCCCGTAAAAACCATTTGCTAAACGGTGCCCCATTGGGGGACAAATTTCAAGGTTGGAACTGGGCAGAACATCTGCCGATTCTCGGTTTCTCGAATTACCCAAGGCTAGAGCCGGCTATTAGTGTCGGCGTTTAGTGGCCGCAAATTTGCATAAATGAGAGGATGATCAGCTGTTCTTAGCGTCGATCGATAGATATGGCGAGACCAGATGCGGGCTATTTTTCTCAACAATTATTCCATTTTTCTTTACTTCCTGATTTCTTTAAAGCTTTTAACCACTTTTCGCCCACTTCCTGTTTACGGTTTTATTGTATAGTTTTATTTGCATGTAAAACAGTGAATTTTGGAATTATTTTAGCCGGTCCGCGTGGCGACTTCGAACAGTCCCAAAAACCCCGATTTTTCGACACTTTATGCGTATTACAGTAATTGAGGGATTGTTTGAATTTGTGAATCGTAATACACCACATTTTTTGCAACCTATCCCCCAAAAAACTAAGCTGCGAAAAAGTTGGGAAAATGGAGTAGCAAAAAGAGGTGCGTGGGGTGGTGATCGCAGGTGGCTGGGCCAGCTGCCCCCTCTTTTGGAAATACACATACCACCTCCCAAATGACCCCCACATTTGGGTAGAACGATGTTTAGGGAGTGAGCGGCTGCTCGTGCTCCCCCCATCTCACTTTATCACCATTTTTCTGGACTAGTCTTGTCTTTCAAGGGACTGGGAAGGCGCAAAAAGTGATTTTCGTCGGTTTATGATCGTTTTTATCGGATATTTTAGCTGTTTTTGCCATTCAGCCATTCTAAAGGGACTGTGACAGATCAGCTTAAATTTTTAGGGGTCCAGAAAGCGCGCAAAACCTGATTTTTTAGCTCTAAACTTTGATAGAGACGTGATAGCCCTCTGGTTTCGTTCGTTGTCATACCCTACCTTTTTCCTGTTCAAAATCCGATCCACTTTCCGGCTCTATTCGAGAGCCACGTGAACATTGTCAAGGGGGGACCATCACCCAATTCTCCTAGTTGTCAATTCGAATTTCCTGGGAGGTTGAGCAGCCAAAGCCATCCTGTATTTGGGTGGATTTTCAGTTTTGGGCTTGTTTTCATGGTTTTACGCATAAATCTAGGTTTATTGTTTCTATAAGGCATTTTCTGTATTAATAAGTTATTTCTAAAAATAGGAAAGCTTTTTTGAACCCCTACACCCCGCTAAAATTATATCTAGCTCTCTCTCTCTGTCTCTCTCTCTCTCTTTCTCTCTTTCTCTCTCGCTTTGTCTAACCCTCGCTCTCTCTCTCTCTCTCTCTCTCTCTCTATCTCTGTCTTTCTCTCTCTCTTTCTATCTCTCTCTCTATCTCTCTCTATCTCTCTCTATCTCGCTCTTTCTCTCTCGCTCTCTCTCTCTCGCTTGGTCTAACCTTCGCTCCCTCGCTCTTTCACTCTCTCTCTCTCTCTCTCTCTCTCTCTCTCTCTCTCTCTCTGGCTCTCTATCTCACTTTCTGTCTCTCGTTTTCAGCTCTTATTCAACTTAGTCACCGATCTAGATCCAGGTCACTATGGCCGCCAACTTGGAGCTGGTCACCCGCTCGACCTCCGTCTCAATCTCAATGTCATTAGCTGACGATAATTATGATCGAAGCACAATCTCGAGCACCTCATTGGCTTCTTCATCATCTACAGCGCAAAATGCCTGCTCAGAAGAGCCGCTGGAGGTAGTAAAATAAGCAAAAATGTGATGCCGATTTAAAAATAAAAAATTGGGGGAGTAAGAAAAATACGGTGAAAAACGAGCCTACTCCCATTTTCAGAGCGGCACCCGGTCGTGCTCCTTGCTGTCGCTGTCCCCCTCCAGCTCGCCGTCAGCCCCGTTGTGTCGTATCTGCCACTGCGCGTATCCGATCGATCCACTGGACCCGCTCATCTCGCCCTGCCGGTGGGGTTCTAATACGCTAAAAGCTTTTTAGAAATCGATCGTAACCGGAGAAAGCATAGGAATCTTCGGAATGCTTTAATTTGCATTTTTCAGATGTTCTGGAAGTCTTCAACACGTTCACGTTAGCTGTCTGATGGTAAGCGAAGCCCAAAGCGTTAAAAAGGGTAGCTAGCAGAGATCTTTGGGGAGGCGCTAAGGCTTATACTTAGACTTAGGCTTAGGCCTAGGCTTGGGCTTAGAATTTCGCGCTTAAAAGGCTACAGTATTCAGAAGAACTAGCGGAGAACCTGGCGGCATTCTAAAACCTCTTTTCAGCACTGGCTCGACATCTCCTCCCGGAAGCTCCACCGGCCCGCCATCTGCGAACTGTGCCTATACAAATATCGGCGGAGACGGGTCCTTAAGGTATCCGATTTTAAAGGAACTTGGAAGCCAGAAAGAGACGAATTTATCAGATAAGAAATCTAATAAAATTATTAGAATCAAACAAAAATCACATTTTTCCAGTACCGTGAGCTGCAAATGCCGGAATGCCCGGGGAGCGATATCCGCTACTATCTGTTGCTGCTCTTCGCCCTGATCATGATGTTCGGCTCGGCGGCGGTGACGGTGATGTGTTTCCAGCTGGAAAAGGGAGGGAAGATGATGCATGAGAAGTCAGTTATATCGTGCTCGCTCTCTTCCTCTCTCCCTCTCTCACTCTTCTCTCTCTCTCTCTCTCTCTCTCTCTCTCTCTCCCTTTCTCTCTATCTCTCTCTCTCACTATGCTAATTTCAGACCCCTCGTCATCCCAGCTGCTGCTCACACAATCCCCAGCCCAACGACACCAACAGGGTCCCCTGCGCCCCCTGTTGATGATATGGAAAATCTTCTATCGACAATTACCCTAATTTCGGCTATACTCTTTTTCTTCTCCTTCTTTCTGGCCATGTACGCTCATGTGAAGGTGAGAATTTGGGAAAATTGGACTGAGTGAGCGAAACAGAGAGAGAGAGGAAGAGAGAGAGAGAGCGAGAGAGAGGGAGAGAGAGGGAGAGAGAACGCGCGCGCGCGATGAGCGTGATCATTAAGTAATAAAGCCTGATTTTATGCAAATTTCCAGTCGGGTCAATCGCTATGCGGGTACGTGCGTGGGTGCTGGTCCTCGAATCTCGAATGGTCGATCGAAGAATACCGAATGAGCCGCGACGTCCAGTACCTCACCAAGCTCGAGGAGTTGCGTAGGAAACTCAACGGTAAGGTTTTAAACTTGCTATATTTTTCAAACATTAAAATTCATGGATTTTCCACGCTTGCCGGTCTCTTTAAAGCGTTAACCCTTAAAATTCCAGAAAAACAAGCGAAAAAGTGCTCGGCGGAAGAGGTGGAGCCGCTCAGATCCGCTGTCATTGCCATCGAATAATCGTTTTCTTGTTTTTTGTATTTTCAATTTTCCTTCGATCTCGAAACTACGGTATTTTCTCCATTTTTAAAGCTATGCTTAAGCTAAGCCTAAGCTAAGCCTAAGCTAAGCCTAAGCTAAGCCTAAGCTAAGCCTAAGCTAAGCCTAAGCTAAGCCTAAGCTAAGCCTAAGCTAAGCCTAAGCTAAGCCTAAGCTAAGCCTAAGCTAAGCCTAAGCTAAGCCGAAGCTAAGCCCAGGCTAAGCCTAAGCCCAAGCCTAAATGTCTTTCCACCATTCTCCCTATTTTTTTCTGATTTTTAATCAGACAAAAACCCCAAATTTCCCTAGCAACCAAACCATCGGTGGCCTTATATTACTGATTTTTCTAGGTTTTTAAAATCGCCTAATTGTCTTACTGTATCTTTTTGAAGGAATAATTATTCGAATTCCCTCCAAAAAAAATTCAAATTTCTCAATTTTCAAATTTCTGGACCACATCATCTTTTCATTTTCTCTCCGTCACGTGGTGATAATTTTCAGTCAATTTTTATGTATTTTTTGTAATCGATTTTTTGAATTGTATTATTATTAATTAACTGATTTTTCCGTGCCCTTACCCGCTGAATAAATGCTTATCAAGTAGGATTGCGCAACGCTGGAGGCTTATCAAATACAAACGGAGTGTTGCGTAACCGCAAAGACGGTTGTAATGCGGAATTTACGACTTTGTAACAGGAAATAGTGTCAATAAGCACTCGAGAAATTGGGCAACGCTGAGCTAAGCCTAGCTAAACCAAGCCTAAGCTAAGCCTAAGCTAAACCTAGGTGACGACTAAGCGAGACCCAAGCTAAGAGCAAGTTAAGCCCAGGCTGAGCCTAATTGAGCCTGAGCCATTGCTAAGTCTCGAAGCTAAGCCGAAGCCAATCCAAGACTAAGCCAACCGAAAGCTGACCCTAACCGAAGCCTAAGCTAAGCCTCCTGCAGTATAAGGTTAGGCTCACTAAGCCCAGGTTACTGCTAAACGAAGCCAACCCAAAATTTAAGGGCTCACAAAACCAGCAATACCAGCGAAGCCCTTGAAGTCCGCGAAGTTTAAGCAAGCCTGAGCCTTGGTTGGCCAAAGCCAGGCCTGTGCCAAGCCGAAGCCAATAGGAAGAGGCCAGAGAGAGAGAGAGAGAGAGAGAGAGAGAGAGAGAGAGGAGAGAGAGCGAGATACAGAGTAAAAATCAACTTCCCGATCCGATTAATTTAGTGCCACTCCCTCCCTATTTTCAGCATCAACCCTTCTTCCCCACCCTTGAAATCCCCCAAAAAGACCGGATCCCCCCTCCTAGCCAACAAATGTTATAATCAAATCAGTGATCCATGCGGGGGCAGCCGATTTCCGTGGATCCGACACCAAAACATTTGCTCAAGTCAAGAGGCAAAAAACAGGCAGGGCGTTGTTTAGGGCGGAAGGCAACATTTTCTTGCCTGGGGATTACGGTATATGGGTCGGGGAATAGGTTTTAGCGGAAGGATAGGTACTTTAAATAGTGTCTAGTTCATTTCTGGTTTTAAAGGACCGTTAAAGCTTGCTTTCAAACGCTCATATTTTTAGGAAAACTTAGAAAACACAACTTTTTGCGTTCTTGATCGCTCCACCATTTTTTTAGATTTCCGGTTTCCACCCCCCGTACCGTAGTTAATTTGGCCTTGAAATACCGCGCATCACTTTTTCCGATTAATTCCGCGCGAGCGAAGATGCTAATTTTTGCCGTTTTGCCGAAACAGCTCTGGTGTTTGTTTCGCTTCAGAAAAATTCCGAGGGCTAAGGCTGGGTGCACTCGCGCGGGACGCTAATTGGCGCGTCAGCCCCCCCCCCCGCGATCATTTCAATTTCAGGCCAAGATCTGGAGCCGGTTTGTTTGGGTGCGGTTTTGTATCTCACGCTCTCTCTCTCTCTCTCTCGCTCTCTCTCGCTCTCGCGGGCATGTTGCCAAATTAAATGGTTTGACATGTGAATGCGCTAAAAAAGACTGATAAAATCTGCGAGAAACACTTGAAAGTCTTGGCAAGAAAATACCGATAGCCAAAAAAGCCTACAAAAAATGCCGACAGCTCAAATTTTTTTCGACAGCAAGACGTGCCATTTTCTTTGTTTGAACTCAGCCATTGAGTGTCGGCATTTTAACTGGTGGGTGTTTTTCCTGGACATTTTTATTTGTCGGTGTTCTGTCTTGTCGGCATTTCGGTTGAGCCTTATTGAGCGTTTCGCAGTTATGGCTTGCTGACCCCTATGAGGTCCACCCCAGGCATACTTTGGCTTCCCAGTCCCTTTAATGACTCCTTATATACATTTTCTTGTCTTATAAATTCTTCAAACTACCGTCACGTCCCCAATTCCGCTACGCTACGCTCCAACTTACCCAAAAACAGGGGTCACAGGATGACAGATAAGTGTCAGATCTGCTCGGCTACAACGTGTTCCTTTGAACCGAGCCGCCCGGGTGTCACCTGTACGCGTTCGCTCTCACTCTCTCTCTCTCCCTCTCTCTCTCTCTCTTTCTGTCTCTCACTCTCTCTCGCCTCGGACAACTACAAGGAGCAACAACTAGCAAAGACCCCTTACACTTTTATTGCCCCCACCCGCCTCGCATCCGGGTCATCCGCCCAGGTGGCAAATTGGTGTCGCGCGGAACGGCTTTTGTAATAATGGGCTTTTTAGGGCCGCTTTCAGGTAGGTTACGGTAGGGAGAGGTGGTTCCTAAACGGAATGTGCTATATTGCCTTTAGTGGAGGATCGTGATTTTCATAGAGAAATTCATAGTTTGGAACACGAGTGAAAGAGCGAGAAAGAGAAGGAGAGAGAGATAGTGAAAGAAAGAGAGATAAAAAGAGAGAGCGAGAAAGGGAGAAAGGAGGAGGAGGAGAGCGAGAGAGCGGGAAAGATACAGAGAGAGAGAGAGAGAGGGGGGGGAACGAGAGGGAGAGAGAGGGAGAGATGCGCGCGAGAGAGAGAGAGAGAGAGAGAGATGAGAGAGCCGTTTTCACAATCCAGCATTTCTGAAAATTTTCCTTCATTCCCAAAAACCCCTAATTACTCCCTGGCTCCAAAAAGACATATTCCCGCACATGCGACAGATGGTGTCTTATCAGCCCTTCCCATTCTAATTGGCGGCCACATCAAAGGGGTCGGACTCTCCTCGAAAAGCCCCGTGAGAACACGACCAGGTGACCCCCGGCGACTATCCAAACTGTTTACACTGTCGTTTAGATGGCCGGGCAATTCGATGGGTGGCGGTAGCCACCTGGTGACAACCTGCTAAAGAGACGGGTAAGGCATGGCTGTGAGTTTTTGGTCATCCAATTTCAATTTTCAAAAGCGGAAGTCCGAACAGCGGGAAATACCGGCAGCCATATTTGCCTTCGAAAGGATTCAGGAACGAAAATACCGAAAGCGCGAAATACCGACAGCTCTACGAAAGGCAGGACGAACTAGCGAGCTAATATACCGACACGGAAAATGCCGATACCCAAAACCTCGACATTCGAAACACCGCCATACAAGTCTTCGCAGCCTTAATAGCCAATATACCGACAGAATACCGACAGTCAAAAACCCGAAGTCCAAAATACCGACTAACAAATCTCGAAAGAAAAAATCCCGAAAACAAAAATCCGAAGATCCAAAACGCCGACAAGCATAATTCTGGCTCCCTGAAAGTCCGTTCCCGGCATTCAAAATCCCGACAACGAAATGCCGACAGTGATAATCCCGACAACCAAAATCCGTATTTTTTGTAATTTAAAATTAAGGTTTCTTCTTTAATTCCGTCTTAAATATAAGTTGTAATTCCTCCTTAAATGTAGTTAAAAAAACTAAGAAATCCTCTAAATTTAATGATTTATCGCCCATAATCCGAATATAATGCTTGAACTTGGAATAATTACACAGAAGACACACAGCAAAAAAATTCAAATATTTGGCATGCTTTTTGCGAGGGTATCAAAAAACACAAAGCAAAATACTTTTAGCATACACGTTTTGCACAGAATCAGAGTGGAAGGGATGGAATTTGCATAATTAGGTAAATTTGCATAATTTTCAACGCAGAAAATAAGCAAAAAAATCGGGTTTAAGGTAATACTGTAACAACCATGGGGCATCGGGTATTACGAGAGGATACGATTGCACAATAGAAAAGAGGAAAAGCGGAAAATCACATCAAAATTTGTAAAATTAGCATATTTTGTAAAATTAGCATAATTTGTATAATTAGCATAAATCACATAATTGTGATGATTTGTATAATTAGCATAATTAAACCTGAATCGCTGGGGGCCATGGCACGGAATTATGAATGGAGAAAGAGAGAGATAGAGAGGGACAGCGAGGGAGACAGAGAGAGCGAGAAAATTACAGACATATTTCCTGAGTGTCATTTGGAATCCATCGTAGTCGATATGTACAGTTGTGGAATTTTTCGAATAAAATGGGATTAGTATCGCGATTTCTAAAGGAGCATGAGCTTGAGAAGCTGAGCATGAGCTGCAATTGGCTGTTATTAATCAAAATAATCATAAATCAAAAAACTGCTGCGATTTTAGACGGAAAATTTATTTCTGATGGACTACAGTAACCCCAGCATGCTAGGTTTTATACTTTTCGAGGTTTTCACACATTTTTCGATGTCACCACCCCTTTAAAATATGTTTTCTATGCTGAAAATCGACACCGTAACCTACGTTGTGACTACCGTAATCAATATTCCTAGATATTTGTTCTTTTTTAGATCTTTTAGTTTTATTGATGTCACTATCCCATTAAAACCGCAATTCCAAACCATTTTGCCAACCTCCTCAAGCGCTCTTCTCCGAGCTAGGACTTGTACTTTGTTGTGGCAATCCAGCCATAGCGGCCAGGAATCCCTGCTGGTCCATGCCAGGGGGTAGAGGGGGGAAATAGAAAGGGGGGAGGGGGATGAGACCGGGGGGCATTGGGGGCAGAAAGGGAGCACCAGGGCGAGGAGGGCCAAGTCCTAGGGGCATTGGGAGGCGACCAGGGCCACAGAAGGGCGGGAGGAAGCCGAATGGGAATGGAGGGAGTTCGGGAGGATCCGGGATGCGTTTGAATCTGAAAAAATAGAATTAGGCCGGTTTTAAAGGGACTGGGAGATCATGCTCAACGGCAAAGTTTAGGGAGAAAAAAGCGAGAGCAAGGGAGAGAGAGAGAGAGAGAGAGAGAGAGAGAGAGCGAGAGCTAGAGAGAGACCGAGAAGCGAGTTTGGGAGGGTGCGAGAAAAACCAAGGAGAGAGACACCGAGATGGAGACAATGCGGGAAAATGAGAGAGCGAAAGAAAAAGAAAGATAGAGAGAGAGAGAGAGAGAGAGAGAGAGAGAGAAAGGGAGAAAGAAAGAGAGAAAAAGCAAGACATCTATTGGGAGCGAGAGAGAGACAGAGAGCGAGAGCGAGCAAGATGATTAGGGAGAACGAGCCACAGAGCCAAAGAGCATGAAAATTTAAGATTTTTTTTAGTTTGTGCGATTTTTTAGGATGACAGAGAAACAAATTGATCTACTCTATATTCCAAAAACCTCTCACCTCTTCCGTCTCCTCAAAAAGCTGCCATTATCGAACATATCCTCAGATCGGGGGTCCAGTGTCCAATAATTTCCCTTTCCCGGATTGCCGGGTTCCCGAGGCACCTTGACGAAGCAGTCGTTCAGCGACAGGTTGTGCCGAATCGAGTTCTGCCACGCTGGGTATTTGTCTCTGGAAAAGAGGGTTTTGAGGGTTGAAATCGGCTTAATAATTTGAATTCTGAATTTTTGAGAAAATATGCAGGTCTAAGTCATGTAACTTTTTAAACACCATTTAATAGGATTTATTTTTCGACCGTCTGGCTGATTTGAATTTCCCTTTTGAAAATTAGCACAATTCGGATATTTTGAGGTTTTAAAATGACTTTAAACGCAAAAAAACCAAATAAGTCGCTAAAATTTGAACTAAATGGATAAATATCCAACTCCAAGTCCCCCATTTCACGCCCCTCGCTACCGTACCCCCTCTCTCCTCTCCGCAAATGTTTAGCCGGGAAGCCGTGAAAGTGGCAGTTTTCGGGTTGTCCCGCCCGATCTCTCCTCTCTCTCTCTCTCTCTCTCTCTCTCTCTCTCTCTCTCTCTCTCTCTCGCTCTCTCTCTGGGGTTTATGGTGGTTGGTGCCCATTTTTTTAGAAAATCGGGAGCCCGTCCGATCCCTTTCTCAATTTGAGGCTACAAAGACAGGGCCCTTTATCGCAGCTGCGAATCTCCCCCCCACCGTTTACAGCCCTCCCCTCCCTCTTCAAGCCGGCCAAGAACTGTCGTGTCGATTCGGAAATACTCGCTAACACGCGGAAATGGACTCCTATCGACGGCGAGGAGGTCGAGATGGACAGAGAAATAAATTTGTTGAACGAACAGAGGACTTACTTAGTTGTTAGGTGGAAAATAACGAAAATCTTTTTTTAATGTTTAGTTTTTGCCGATTACTTAGCTTACTTTAAATTTTTAGAGTACGCTAATTGGCCCATCCTTAAGCTCGAAATATGGAGCTAATTTCAATATATCCAAAATTTAAGATACTTTTGTAAACCCCGAAAATATCGATAGGGTTGCCGTTTTTTACGATTATCTCAGCTTATTCAATTTGTTAAACTACGGTAATTATAGCTTTTTAAAGCCCTGAAAAATCCGGTCAGTTTGGTGTACTTTACATATTGTTACGATATCGGAAAAGGTTTTTAAGTGCACAAAAGCTGTTAAATTCTAATGGATTTTTCGACGCTGACTGCGTTGACTACGTAACATTACGGTACTCCATGCTTTACAGTATCTTTAAAGCCTTGGACTCCAGAGTTACTCCAAGAAATTGGTCCTTTCCGTTCTGGAACAAATCACTTTTCGAGCTCCTGTTTATCCCGTAACCTGATCCCCCGAGACTATTTGTTGTTTTTGTGGCTGGAGAATGAGGATGAGCAGGAGAAACAGAGCAACAACTTGTGCCCTAAGGGCATCGACTCCAAGGGATACGGTACCTTGTTGTGACAATGAAATAGCCGTTTCTTCACGCAAAAAAAACATTATCGCACCCACTTGTAATACTGGAACTTCTCGCAGATGAACTCGCAGATCTGGGCGAGCGTCAGCTTCTTGTCCGGGCTATTGAGAATCGCCATCGCAATTAGTGCAATATAGGAGTAGGCCGGTTTGGCGGCTCCTGATTTGGAACGTTGGGCAAGCATGGCACCGCCGCCTGGGCTTCTGAAAGGAGGAAAAAAATTAGTCGCTTTGGGTAAGCCAAGCAAAGCCTAAACTTGAGCCCAAGCTTAAGCTAAGCCTAAGCGAAGCCTGAGCTAAACCTAAGCTAAGCCTTGGCTAAACCTAAGCTAAGTTTAAGCTAAACCTAAGCTAAGTTTAAGGTAAACCTAAGCTAAGTTTAAGGTAAACCTAAGCTAAGTTTAAGGTAAACCTAAGCTAAGTTTAAGCTAAACCTAAGCTAAACCTAAGCTAAGTCTTTGCTAAGCTTAAGCCAACGTCTAAGCCAAGCCTAAGCTACGCCTAAGCTCAACCTAAGCTAAGCCTAAGCTCAACCTAAGCCTACTTACCCCTCTTTATCGTCGTCATTCTCCTCATCCTGCGAGTCGCTCGGACAGCCGTCTGCCGATTCCCCATTGTCCAGTCCCGGAATATCTGAAAATTACAGAAATTTACTCACATTATTTGGCTCAGATAAAATCTAAAAAATCTCAAAAGCAAAAATTTACATACCTAGTCCAATCTCCTCACAACTCCGCCGTATCACCGTCTCGGGTTCGGACTCCTTTTCGGAGGTGGTCGGCTGGAAACAAGAACTTTCAGGGGACTGAGGAGGATCTTACCGTATCCTTCGATTCCTCCGTATCTGGTGCTGCTACCGGTTCTTCAGATTTGACGGTAGGGGTTGTGGAGGTGGAGGGGATGGCTGGGGATGCTTCTGGAATCAGGAATTTTGATTATTATTAGCTTTCTCTCTCTCCCTCGCTCGTTCCCTCTCACTCTCACTCTTTCGCTCTCTCTCTCTCTCTCTTTCTCTCTCTCTCTCTTTGTTTCTCTCCCTCATTATGTTTCACTCTGAAATAACAAATTTTGAATGAGAGAGCCACTAAAATGAAGATAAAAGAGAGAGAGAGAGAGAGAGAGAGAGAGAAGAAAGAAAGAAAGAAAGAAAGAAAGAGAAAACTGGAGACAAGGTTAGACAAAAATAGAAAAAAAAAGAATTTTTCCAAACTCCCACCAGCTTCCAACTTCGGCGCCTTCACAAAATTCCCGGCTTCCATAGCAGCCTTCCAAGAATTCCCATCAACCATTAGTGCAGCATCGGCTACCTTTAAAATTTGCATAAACCACCGTACTCTCCCTTACCCTCGCCATGGCCTCCAGGAAATTTGCTTCAGGATGGAACCGCTTCTGGTCGAGGGGTGGACTGGCGTCATCGTGATGCCTTAAAAATTATGCGATTTTGAAGGGACTTGGAAGCCTGGAAGTTAGCCTTTACAGTTGATCATTAATGCGGAAATACTCTGAAATTAGCGTACCGTTTCCTGGACTTCTGGCTGGGCCCGGAGTCGGCCAGGATGCTCTCCATCGAGAATCGTGTTTTCCCGCTCGCCATGCATATACTGGAAATTAGAGGTAGGGATAGAGAGAGAGAGAGAGAGACAGAGAGAGAGAACGACAGAGAATATAAAAAAAATAGAGAAATCTAGAGAAGGTTTATGCGCCGAAATGCGCAAAAAATTAAGAACTTTAGAGAAGGAGTCTGGGCTAAAAAGAGCAAGAAAGAGAGATAGCGAGATAGAGATAGAGAGAGAAAGAGAGAGAGAGAGAGAGAGAGAGAAAGAGAGTGAGAGAGAACGAGCGAGAGATGACGACGTCAATCGGCATAATTCGACCTCAAACTCCAAAAGTTCGATCCCCCCCAAGCTCGCCCTCCCCTTCACTTGATCGTCATCATCGCGAGTCAGTGTTGAAACAACACCTGACACCGCCCCAGACACACTCATTCAGGGAGACAAAGCGAATTTCGGGCCCGCGGCACGAAATTGGCGGCACACGGCCGAGGGTTGGACACGAAATGGCCATTTTGGCCTTGGTTACGGTCGTGTATTGATTGGAACGATGCGTAGCGCTGGTATTAGTCGGATCTACGGCTTTTTCGGGGCTTGGCCGTTTGCCAAGAAGATCATGTGACTTGTCCCTTCCTTTAAAATGCAAATTCGCCTTTTTGTAGCTGCCTGGCCGTTCCTAAACGAATTCGCCTAGCTTGCCGGTTCTCAAATGTTCTTTGCTAGCCCAGCCGTTCCTAAGTGATCTCTGCTGGCTTGCCACCCCCCCCCACAACCCCCCCGGCCCCCCCCAACCCCCCCCCATTTTCCCCGGCCCCCCCCGCTCCCCGGGTAAGCTCCACTCAAAATTTCGAGCTCGCCCTCCATTTTTTACTCACTTTTCCAATCGATCTCTTCTCGCGGAAGGTGAGATTATATTCCCCCAAATCGGCGTGTTTTGAGCGGAGCGTCGGTTAGTCGCCCCGGTCTTTTCGTGGGTATCCCATTAAGGGAAGGCTGGGTGGAGGTGTCAACCATCTACCACTCAATCATCCAGCCAGGGGCGATAAAGAGAGAGAGAGAGAGAGAGAGAAGACAGGTACCGTATCCGATCATTTTGTCTTGCTAGTTCACTCTCTCTCTCTCTCTCACTCTCTCTCTCTCTCTCTCTCTCTCTCTCTCTCTCTCTCTCTTTCTCTCTCCCTTGGCTCATTTCCAGCTAATCGTTATCCATCCCACCCATCCCTGCCTATTGGTCGAAAAAGCACTACGCTACGCTCCACTGAACACCTCGATTTCCCCCGCGAAAACATACACAACACCCCTAAACCCGATTTAATCCCAAATACACCCATTCATGCTGGGAAAACTCGGGGAAATGCCATCTAGAAAATGTTTACTACGGGGCTGTACTATGAACGTTTGAGTGGACGTTCGATCGGGGATTCCTAAATGGTTTTTGCTAGCTGGCCTAAAATACATTATGGGTCAGGACAGCGCATTAATGAACCATTCCTACATGGTCTCTGCTAGTTCTTCTAGGGCAGTGCCAGTTCCCAAATGGCCTCTGCTAGCTTGCCAAAGCTAACCGACTCTCCTTATTGCGCTGATACGCTTAAATCTGGCGATTTCCCTCACGCTCTCCGCTAGCCTGCCCCCAAAGTGCTAATCCTCGCGTTTCCCCGATAGATGGATAGAAGGACACCTTGTGGAACAGGTGCAAGAAGAAGCCCACCCCGGGTTCCAAGCTGATCCTTTTGCCGGTCCGGAGGAGCCAGAGTTATTGTAAAGACGGCGGGTCGGGTGACACACCAGTCTGTAGCTCTCTCTCTCTCTCTCTCTCTCTCTCTCTCTCTCTCTCTCCAGTGCCATTGTTTAGATTGGGGCTTCGGTTTCCTTTTGAGCGACACCGCCAGCGGGTCTTCAACTTTTTTGGGCTTCTCGGGATAAGCTGATAAGGACGTGAAGGGGGGAATGTTTGGTTAACCGATGGTTTATTGTAGGGCGGAAAGGGTCAAGGTATCGGTTTTTAGTTTTAAGGGAAATTCGGTACTGACAGTTTGCGGAGATCACTTGGATTTGGCGGTGGTAAGCTTCCAGACATGCTTCAAGGAAACGGAACACCAGTTCGACACGGCAAGCTAGCGGAGATGATTAGCGAACCGGAAAGGGCGGACGAACCGAGATTATTTAGGAATCGGAACCTTGTTTTTCAGGCGAGCTAGCAGAGATCATTTCGGAATCGAAGAAGTATCAAAGAACTTTTGGGAAATGGCACAGAGCAAGCTAGCAAAGACCAATTAGAAACTGGAAAGCTAGCAGAGATCATTCTGCAATGGGCGAACTAGCAGAAATCACTTAGGAACGGGAAAGCTTGCAGAGACTATCTAGGAACCGACAAGGGGCAAACTAGCAGAGATAACTTAGGGACGGGCAAGCTTGCAGAGATCATTTAAGAAGGACCATGTTTCGAGCAATCTAGCAGAGACCATTTAGGAACCGACAATGGGCAGGCTAGCAGAAGCCATTTGTGGATTCCGCCATTGTGACTTCAGGCAAGCTAGCAAAGATCATTTAAGAACATGTCCCAGTCCGTCCAAAAACAAACAATCCCGCGATTACGCGATCCGGTAGCCAAACGATGTCCCCCTGCCATGGCCATAAAGTTGCGAGGGGGGGAAGAGGGAAATTTATTTAGTGCTTGTGCAAACAGCGGGGATCCATTGCTTATCAGAAAATCGGAAGGAGCAAAGCGTCGCGGAATATATGGCAGGGGAGGGAGGGGATAGGGGGGAATGTGGTAGCAAAGGAATAATATCTGGAAGCCGGGGCTAAAATATGACCCTTTTTTTGCCAGGAGAAAAAGGAAAGGCGTAGCATTGTAAATGCTTGGCAAGATAACTCCCAAGACTGGTACAGAGCGTCGTAAAGAGGAGTGGAATGGAATTTTGGGTCCTGAACTTAGAATTCTCTTAGAACTTTAAACGATTTTGGCGTCGATAAAATTCATAAAATTTACATAGAGATGAGTATTTTTGCACTGAAAAAATCGTGCTAAAATGCTTTAAGTTAACATCAAAATTCGAAAAATTCTGGCAGACTTCTCGCAATTTTTAACTTTGAAAAACCCTGCGATTAAAATGCCTGAACGTATTTTAATGGTTTAAATGAAATTTTGTGGCTAGATTTTGACTTAAAAAATTCACTACCGGTTTTAAAATTTTTAAATACAATTTTTAGACGGATTTACGATTTTTGAAATTTCTAGAGAAAATTCTACAAAATTCAGGTTCACTTTAAATTTTTAAATCACCGAAAAAAATGAAAAATTCGTCTGAACATGCCGTATTCGGGGAAAGTGTATGCAAATTAGGTGGTTGGACTACGGTGGGATACACAAGGGCGGTAAAGCTCAAAACAAATAGAAAATAAAAAGGATTTTTAATAAAACTTAAAATTTAACTAAAAATCAAATTCCGAAGCATCCGTCTACAGTATCGTAGTGTAGCGTAACGTTTTGGAGCGTCGCGTAGTCCTGGCCGGAAGCCGAAAAAAGGAAAAATAAAAATCCAAGGAAATATATGGTTTTCGAGAACCCAGACCCATCTACAGTACCGTAACCCCAGCGTATCGTCACGTAGCCCCGGCTAAGAAAATATATAAAGTGGGCGGGGCCAGGCTGGCCGAGTTGGCCATCCAGGGGAAAATGTTGTGGGATGTGTGTGTTGATGAAGATGCATGAGATCGTTGGCTGCTCAATCCCCCTCCACTCCTCCCTCCCCTCGCCCGTCCATTGGACAGTCGCGTAGCCCCGGCTAGCCCGAAGGGGCGGAGCCTCCCGGCCACGCCCCCCCGGAAGCCACTTGTTTTTCACCCCGAGCTGCGCGAGTTTTTGCGGTTTTGAGGGTAATTAGCGGGTTTTAGGCGTGTAACACCATCATTAGTATATTTTGGATTTTTGCTAAATTTTGGGACATACGGTAGTTGAATGTTTGAAGCCACGCCCATTTTGAAAACGCAAAAAATACGTTAAATTTAGATTTTTAAGATTTTCTCACTTATTTTGATTTTTCGAGATTTTGACCAAGTTTTTTTGAGGATATTCTAATTATTAAAACTTGCATTCTGCAAAAAATAAGCAGAGTTTTTTAAGGATTTTTAATTAGCATTATTTAATTTTTAGCGCTGGCCCTTCCAAAAACTGTCATAATTTAGTGGAATTTTTCCGAATTTTAGGTTTTTTTAGCAAAAATACACTAATTTATTTGAATTTGGAGCTTAAATTTATCGAAATAATTTTTTTGATTCGAAAATCAGAGAAAGCGACTGATTTATGCCAATTTTGACATTCTTTTCTTATGCGAGATACCTTATTCGGTTAAGTACGGGTTTTTCGATTCCGAAACGCTCCGATTGTTCGCTTCCGGTTTGCCGGTTGTTTCGGGGGTTTCCGGCTCTATGCATAAGCCCAAGCCTAAAATTTAAGTCCAGGCATAGCCCAAATCTAAGCCTAAGCCTAAGCCTAAACCTAAGCTAAGCCTAAGCTAGGCCTGAGCTGGCCGAACCTAAGTCCAACCCTAAGCCTAAGCCTAAGCCTAAGACCAAGCTTAAGCTAAGCCTAAGCTAAGCCTAAACCTAAGCCTACACTCAAGCCTAAGCCTAAGGTTAAGGCTAGCCAAGACGAAGCCAAGTATAATCCTAAGCCTAGGCCTAAGCCTAAGGAACACCATAAAAAACAAGAAAAAAAAAACCCCCCCCTTCTTTTTGGTTTTTTTCTTTTTTTGGTAGCGGCCGGGGTTCCGCTTTTTCAATTTCCAATTTTTAAATAACCTTTACTAAAAAATTTTTGGGGTGGAGTTGTTGCCTTTGACCAAAGCAAAGTTTTGCTGTGCTCATAACTTTTTGTGTTTAGCGTTTTCCCCCCCTCTTCCCCTTTTTTTCTGGTTTGCCGGTTTTTTTTTCTCCTCTCCGTAAGCCTAAGGAAGCGTGGTCCTAAGCCTAAACCTAAGCCAAACCTAAGCCTAAGCCTAATCCCAAGACTAAGCCCAAGCCTAAGCCTTAGCCAAAGCCGAAGCCTGAACCCAAGCTCATGACTCATCTCTTCCGGTTCCGGTATTCCGGTCCGCTCCACCGTACGTGCCGTAGCCGCCAACTGAAAACACCAGCCTTTTTTGGTTAGCTGCTGAACTTATGCGCTCCATTGCAGCTCTGCCCGGCGTTGATCGGGGAATTTGATAATTTTTCGCGCGCTTCGCGTGGAGCGGCAACGCGCTTGAGCGGGTCGGGCTTGTTGGGGAGGATGAGCCGCGCGGGTGAGCACCGCCTGGAGCACTAATTTGGCAAATGGAGCGTGAACACACAGGGCTGGGAAGCGGAAAAGAGACACTTGGAAATCACACCAGCAGGCTGAAAAATTGAGCACGAGATCTGGGGGAGATGCCATGTTTTGATAAGTTGGCGCGGAGAGGATCGGGCTGAAAAATTGGGGCTCCCCGGGAAAGATGGATAGGTTTTTTTGGGGTGGGAGTGAGGTACGGT